ATCGAGGTCTTTATAACGCCTTTAAGTATACTTAGAAGCAAGTTAGAAGGGGAGTGCTAGGGGTCTTATCCCCCCCCCCTAATAGGCTAATATCTATAGGGGTGCGATCTTACCCGTTAAAGTATAATTAGGGCTTTCTACTAGACCTTATAGCGATCGAATTATAGCTAGAACCTTTTCTCGAAGTTATAAAAGGAGTCCTTTATATCCTAGTATTATTTATTATAGCCTATTTACCTTGCTAGGAACGTAGCCTTAGTTTTATCTTCTCGTTAAGATAGTCTCTTTCTAAGGTTAATAATAAATTGCTCTTAGTCTAGCTATTAGGGCTATTTAAGCTCCTTTATTCCGTTTAGGTTAGTATATTCCTAAATCTTATAAGTCTAGGCCTATAATTTAATCCCCCTAATCTATAGGGTCTAATCGAGGCTTTCCTTTAGTCTTATAATATAATTATCCCCTCTTACTTCCTTTAACGTTATCTTAGGAAAATTAAGGGTTCTAGCTTAATAAGTAATATCCTTTTTTAAGGGATACGTAATTTATATAATTCGTATATTTCTAGTAGTGCCCCTTAGTATAGCTAAGTTCCTTGCCTTAATACTATAATTTAAGCGTTATAACGGCGTTAATAGCTTATAAATAGCTTTAAAGGTAATATTAGCGGGCAAAAGATAATCTAGCTATATAGGCCGGGCTTATAACTCTTAAGTAGGGGCTTAAGAGTATAGTAAAAGAAATAGGGGTATAGAAAGGTAAATTTAGTAATATATATCTTAGTCTATCTATTCAGATAAGGGAGGGGCTTATATAGGTATAGTAACTATATATAGCTAGCTAAAAGAGGGTATTAAGATATTCCTATACCTAAGTTAAGCCTATATAATATCCTAAGGCTAAGGGAGTTATATTAGTTAGGTAGGCTTCCTTATATATAACTATTAAGTCTACTAAGCATAACTATAGCCTCTTATACCTACTCTCCTTAATAGTTACCTAAGGTAGTAGAAAAAGCTCTCTACTATATAGAGGTTAGCTCGGAGAAGAGGGAAGCTCCCTCTATAAATTCCGTTGCCCTAGGACGAAGAGAGGGCTTAAGTATTACGACCACGGTCCAGCGAACCGCGGGGACTAGCATATATTACGAGGACACGTAACGTAGGGAGCAAGGAATATTAGACGGACCGATAGGCCAATTAAGTTTAAGAGCGACGGGTTACTCTAGCGCTCTAACGCTCTACGGCTAGGATCGTAGGATCGCTCTAGCGCTCTAGCGCTCCTAAGCGACGGGATCACCTAGAGCTCTCGGCGATCTAGGGAAGCTCTTAAGATATATAAGGAAGGAACGGAACACTCCTTTAGATAGATAGCTCGATAGCTTTTAATATATTATAATTATTACGATCTCTATTACGATCTTATCTTTAATTCCGATTACTTAATTACCTAGTTATAGTCTACGGTCTATAACCTCCGACTTATTACTAACGTAATATACTTATTATTCCTTAGACCACGCCCTATTATATCTGCTAATATAAACCCCTTAATAGGTTTATCCCTTAGGAATAATACCGGCCGTTATATTAAGAGGGTCCTACTTATTAGAGAAGACTAAATTATAGATAGTTTTATCTATATAAGCCTATAGCTCCGTTACCTACTTATCTTAATCTTAAGGCTCTATAAGAATTATCCTATAGACTATAGGGATAGTAGAGGAATCGCTTTTTAATATAGTTATAGAAGAGGGGGTAGAAAAGTTAATTAAAAATCGGCTTTTTTAGTAAGAGGGGTAAAAAGAAGGGCTATAAGGGATATAAGAAAGGTGCCTTTTATAGTAGCTAGAAGGTATAGGAATTCTATTCCTCCCGGGCTTATAACTCTAGTAAAGAGAGATATAAGAAGTATATATAAAATATATAAAGGTAAAGGGGGAAGTAAAGGGTTAAATAAGTAAAGCAAAGATATTTAATTCTTATAGGAGTAGTAGTTATAGTAAGGGAGTAATTATTATATTAACTTAATTATCCTTCTTTCCTTTATCTAACGCCCCTCTTTATACCCGTTTAATATCTTAATTAATAAAGAAGATCCTATTTAAAGAAGCTACTAATATCCTCTTAACTACCGAGCTTTTTACCGGTTTTTCCCTTCTATTCTAGCCGTTGCCGGCATATCTATCTTATCTCTTGCTACCTCTATAAGAAGCTATCGCTACTTCTGCTTCCCCTTATACCCCTACCCTCCTCTTTATACCTCTTTTTAGCTCCTTCTTCTAAACCGGTTTTTTAGCTTCCTAGGTCCCTCTTACTAAGGGATATCTCTAAGAACTATAAAATTAAGCTACGCTTCGCGATAATAACTACTAGTTAAATAGTAAGAGTAAGTTATATAACCTTATTAATCGTAAGTTCGACTCCCCCTAGAGCGAAAGAGTAGGTTATATAACTACGCCCTAGGGGGGGGCGCGGTTAATAAACTTAAGGGCCTAAGGAGATAGGATATAAGGAGGGGGGTTCTCTTTATATCCTATCCTCTTAGGTCCTAGCTTTTATCTTTTATATACTATTCTTTTTGCCTAGCCCTATAGTAGCTATATCCCTTATAAGAGGGGTTAATATTAAATAGCCTTTAACTACTAAGTTAAGCGGTAAGAGTAGGTTATATAACCCTAATTAACTAATATTCGATCCCTCCTTAGGTAAGAGGAGGCGGCTAGTATAACGTACCTATATAGTACGGAGCACTAGCTATAGGAATATCTTAATGCCCTCTTTTAGCTAGCTATATATAGTTACTATACTTATATAAGCCCCTCTCTTATCTTAATAAATAGACTAAGATATATATTACTAAATTTACCTTTCTATGCCCTTATTTCTTCTACTATACTCTTAAGCCTCTACTTAAGAGAGACTTTATACTTAGTATTTTAGGCTTTTCTAGCTACGTCCTTCTAGGCAATAGGTACCATTTTATAGAGCCTTAACCTAGTAACTATTGCAATAGTAGGAGATTAGGTTAGCAGCATTTAAATCCGTAGCAAGATCACCTACTACTGAGCTGCAGTGGGCCTGATTTCGTCGGCGGCAGGCTAAAGTAGACCTCATCCTCTCACACTTTCAAGCCTTTCCCCCATGCTCCCTATCAGAGGGCATTCAGAAAGAGGCGCGTTTTCCGGCTCTCTGTATGCCCCCTACCAATCGGCGTATTGTTCAGTAAGCTGATGAGATTGCTTTAGCTCTCGTTATCGCCACCGGGGAGATGGCCGTCACATTTCTTTTAGACTAGCACCTGCTTCGCTGCATACGGAGTATCCGTAGAGCTGATTCGAATTATGCCCTGCAGCCTATAGAAGCGCTAAAAAGGTGGGCATGAGGCTAGTGCTGACTTTCCTCCGTCGCCTTCGGTTGAGGAGGACGTTACCGACAAGAGTTTCATCAGGTTAAGCTTCGTCTTTGCAGAAACCCTGCCCTCGGCACACCCGGTCTGGTCCAAGTACAAACACCATAGGGCGGACGGCGATGTTGCCGATATCAGGCTGGCATTTCATGTGGTTTGACTGTATGGGATGAGAACGTAATGAGCAGCTGCTCTGGTGAAAGTTGCCCACTCGCTGCGATGTCATCAACTTCATCAAATTACCTAGGTAATCATAAAGTCTATTGGCTTAAAGTCTGTGCAGTAGTGAGCGCCGAGAGAACTAAGTCTTAAGCTAGGTCAACTCTCTTGCGTCCGCTCAACGAAAACATTAACTCCCGTCTCCCACGGCCTTACCCGATTGGACGTGAACTCGAGTTTTATACGTGTGGCTGCATATTGCCGACACCACTCACGGCTGAAGCATACTATTCTCTCGCACAACGTAAGATGGCAAGTTCCGTGCGATTGGGGACGTTGGATTCCTTTGTGGGACGTTGTTTCGCGGCAGCACCGAGCAGCTAACACAGAGTGAGAGGGGGAAAACACCGACGCTTGGTCCAATAGCGGAAGATGGATGCAAAATTCGGAACTAAACATCTCCTATAAACACGAGCTCTCGATCGAAGATTTCCCAGTTTCTGGCGAGAACGAATTCGCAACTCATACGGCTATTTTCTAAGTAACGCACCTCAAAGTAAATAGAACCTGTCCACTGCGTGTACACGCACTCAAGGCTAGTACTTGCTCCTCACCACGCCATTCTGGTAAGTTCATCTCAACTTCCAAGTCTGCTTCAATTAAAATTCTAATGATCAGTGTGAGTAGATCTCTTAGGAAAGTGAGATTCAGAGGGTGACATCAGCGTCTCGCTTAAAGTCTCAGCATCACACGTCGCTCAACGGTTTCTCAGACTAAGCGTCGAGATGCTTTCAAAGCTGCTCCTCATTCATTACGCGACTACACTATCAACCGCATATCCTTTTGCTGCCGGCGTCTCTTACCCCCAGGCCGTCGTTGCCGAGGCGCAACAGATCTACGGTGACAATACGAAGCTTCGTCTGCGCAATTCGACATCTTCCTGCACGTTAGGAACAGTATCTATACGCAGAGCTTGGGATGATCTATCACTGGAAGACAGGAAAAGTTACATCGATGCCGTTCACTGCTTGATTGCCAAGAAACCTGCGCGCTCAAGCCTTGAGGTTGTTCCGGGGGCGCGCAACTGGCACGATGATTTTGTTTGGTCTCATGTCACGCAGACGAATTTCGTTCACGGATCCGGCCTGACTCTCCCGTGGCATCGGCAATTCATCTGGTCTTACGAGCAGACACTGAGGAACGAATGCGGCTATCGAGGGTCTCTGCCTTACTGGCCGTGGGAACGACACTCGGCCAATCAAGACCGATCTCCAGTATTTCAACCAGGACCTACGTCGTTTGGAACAAACGGAAAACCCATACCGCATGAAGATGCAACCGCGCGTGTTGTTGGACTGCCCGACAACTACAACTTTAGTGTTCCACTGCCAGCCGGAACCGGTGGGGGGTGCATTCAAGACGGCGCATTCAGCGACATGACTGTCACCCTCGGACCAGTCACGACATCGAGCAACCTGGCCAACAACACGTACGGAAACCAATACAACCCCCGATGTTTGAAACGGGACTTTCACCAATCATTCAGCACTGCCAATCTGACATATACGACCATAGCCGATCTATGGTCTGCTTCTTCTGTTCACGATTTCCATCCTCTGCTTGAAAGGGTGGCCCACCCGGCCTCGCATGGCTATGTTGGAGGGGATGAGCAAGATCTGTACACATCACCGAATGATCCTCTATTCTACCTCATCCACAGTCAGATTGATCGCCTGTGGGCCGTCTGGCAAGGTCAGGATTATGCATCCCGGGAATTCGCACTAGACGGGACCGTCACGATCAATAACATGCCTCCTTCGGAGGACGCTACCCTGTCAATGATAATGCACCTGGATATTGCGGCTGGAAATGACATGCCTGTGTCAGACGCAATGACAGCTATTGGAAACGACTATTGCTATATATACGCCTAGTCAGGGTGGGTTCGATCCACGCAAACGCAAAGGCGGTCTCCGAGTCGCGATGCGCGCACTAGACGGGTCAAGCTAGATGCGGGGAGAAATAGAGCGTGAAAATGTGCCATGCGGAGCATGGGGGGAATTCAGTTTCATATAAGGTCGGTCGCACTAGCATACGATGGTGGCAAGTGACGATACACTCAAGGGGCATAGAATGCGTATCATACAAGTTTTCTTTCACAGTATAACGGCTTAGACATCAGACTACCAGGTATACATGCAAAATTAAAGTAGGTAAAAGATATCAGATAAGTCAAGATTAAGGTATATTTATACGAAGCTATCGTTACTTTTACTTTCTCTCTCTAACCCTCTTTTCTATACCTCCTTTTAGCTTATTCTTCTTTCTTCTATACCGGTTATTTTTAGCTTCCTAAATCCCTCTTACTAAGAGATGTCTCCGAGAACTATCAAATTAGGCCACGCTTCGCGATGATAGTAATATAGTAAGTTAATTTATTATATATTTTAATTCCCTCCCCTTCCTCTTTTTAATATCTCTCTTTATATCCTTATTAATTCTACATTAACAAAGAAGACCCTTTTAAGCTAAGATATTAGTACCTAATAGAAATTTAAGATTTACCCCCTCTTTTCTAGCTATTACTACTATTTCTATCCTATCTTTTAGCCCTAAGTCCCTGCACATAGAAATGGGCACCCCCCTGTTTTGGGCACCCAAGATGGGTGCCCAACCTAAACGGCTGCGTCAACTTCAACAGCAAATTTCACCGCGGAAACGCATCCAATCTGCTAAAAAATTGACGCATGTGTCTTCAAGCCACTACTGATGAAATATACAGAGTCTGACATTCACAGCGCCCTTGAGGCAATCGCCAATGGCGGATCCGCCAAGAAGGCTGCTCGCGATTGGGGCGTCCTGAGGGCAACTCTTTACAATCGCATGCATGGTCACGAATGCAGAAAGGATGCATTTTCTGCTCTTCAGAGGCTTTCAGACACAGGAAAAGCAACTTACCGAATGGATTCTCATTCAGGACGCCTTGGGCCTTCCTCCCACTCACTCGCAGATCAGGCAGTTCGCGCAGCGCATGCTCGCCGTCAAAGGAGACACACACCGCTCGGAAAACACTGGATGCAAGCATTTTTAAGACGAAATCCTGCAGTTCGGACCCAGAAGTGCCATCACAGAGACTCTGCGCGTGTCAACGGCGCTTCTACCGAGGTAATTCGGCCTTGGTTCAACAATTTCTTCCTTCCCGAGATTCTGGCTATTAAGCCGGAGAACAGGTACAACATGGATGAAGCAGGCATCATGGAAGGACTTGGGGAGAATGGCCTGGTCGTTGGCAGTGCTGAAAACGATCTGTACAAAAGAAAACGCCTAGTTATCGGGTCTGACGTCGTTCATCGAGTGCGTGTCCGCTGCCGGCACCTTCCTCCCTCCACCCGTCATTTTCAAGGGCAAATCGGTCCAGCAACAGTGGTTCCCAGAAGATCTCAGTACTTTTAGTGACTGGCAATTCACTGCGACAAAGAACGGCTGGACTTCGGACCAAACTGCGGTGGAGTGGCTCGAAAAGGTGTTCATTCCAAGAACCCAGCCACCCGACCCTTCGGAGCGAAGACTGCTAGTATTGACGGCCACGGAAGTCACGAGACGGTTGACTTCATGTATCTATGCTACCAGCATCAGATTCACCTTCTTTTCTTACCTCCCCATACCTCTCATGTGCTGCAACCGCTCGATTTGTCTGTCTCTCCGCTCTTAAGCACTACTACCGCAAACAGGTCGGATTTCAGCCTCCTGACCGATTCAAGCCCAGTCGGCAAGCAAAACTTTCTTTCCTGCTACCAGAAAGCACGCGAGCAAGCGCTCACTGTGTCAAACATCAAGGGTGGCTGGAAAGCGACGGGTTTGTGGCCGGTGTCGATGGCGAAGCCACTTTTGAGCCCTCTTCTGCTGGAGAACAGCAACAGACGCAAAAGAACGCGAAAAATGTGGCCAATGCATTCAATAGCCACTTACCCACCAGTGACTGGCAATCAGACACATCCCAGATTGCGTGGTCGACCCCGAGGCGCTCGCAAGATCTGAAGGTTCAGGTAGTTCAATTCAACCAGCTAGACGACGACGTGCCCACGAAGAGATTGCTGTTCAGGAAGATCACAAAAGGGTTTGACGAGAAGGATGGCCTTTAGCAAAAGCTCAATTGCAGATTCAGGCACTGGAAACACAATTGGCGGCCGTCAAGCCGAAAAAGGAAGAGGGTGGTCACGAGCCCGAATTCGAGGTTCGCCAATATTGAGGCAATACGACGGGCGCAGGAGGAGGTGAACGCAGCTGAGAATGAAGAATCTGATGAAACCGAAGCTGAGGTTTCAGAAATAGGTGACGATTGTATCGTAGTGCACGGTGGTGGGCAGTGAGAAGGGATTGAATTAATGGTGTTGAAAATGGTCGTGATTTTTTTGGGGTGCCCAAAACAGGGGGGTGCCCATTTCTATGTGCAGGGACTTAACTAACGAGTAGACGGCTCTGCCTAACCAGCAAAAAGAGCGGAGAGACTATAGCGAGTGCACCCGTCTTATAAAGTAGTCCGAACAATTAGATATTATTAATATAGGAATGTCTATCCCTCCGAATGCGCTAAAAGAGCAAAGAATGCTATTTATAGAGATATTAACCGGTAAGAGCGCCTTGCTGTCTTGGCACTGTTATCTACTAACAATCGCACTAAAATAGAAGTCTCGCAGCCTTGCCGTAGTATAAAATCTCGCGGTATTCCGTCGTTAATCCGTATGCTCTATCTTATTAAAGGGTCGATTCCAGCCTCCTAGATGCTTTTTAAATCGGCCCTATTAATAGGCCCTAACGGCGCGTAGGTCCCATTCTTCGCGTGGAATTGATGGACTGAATGTCACAGACATTGTGATTAGTTCGCTATTGCTGTGAGGGTCAGGTCTCGTCAATAAGGAATCCTACGAACTTACTATAGTGGCCCTCTAGATTTCGCAAGATCCCTTAGTTAAGTCCGAGAAACATGTACCAGACTACTGGACGATGGATCCTTGGTCTAGACTCCGGTCTAACTACTCCGTCCTGTCTAGCTTTGAGTTTCAAGGAACGCTAAAACTCTTAAGATAAGACTTAAAAAGACAAGATCGGTCGCAGGCTTACCAGCCGTTATATCTCCCCTAGACCGGCAAATATATATCTTTCGCTCTATCGAGTTGCTATGCTGCGTTGCATGGAAATGCTATCTTGTATAAGTGTAAAGATAAGGTTTCTAAATATATTACTCGTACGTTTAAAGAAAGGGTAGAAAGCGTGTTTGATTCTAAGTTAGAGGTCTCTTGCCCCTTGCTAAGCCTGCTGCGTATATAGATATGGGGAACCTTTAGCGTCTAAGACTATAATATCGCTAGACATAGTTATCTTAGACTGTCATGCTATTCGCGGAAAAATTGCACTAATGATTAGGTTAAGCCGCTATGGCGATTACGGTTCGACTAGTCAAGAGGTAGTTAATCTTAAAGAGGCCTATAGGGCAGTATATAACTTACTCAAATTCGCGTACAAAAGGACTTTAAGCCCTCTATATATAGTTATTCATATACCACATCCCTTGCTAGATACCGAATCAAGGACTTTTACCCACTATACTCCTTAAGATTTAAATATACTGTGACACTTTGCTACAGTCATAAATATGAAGCTCGGACTTGTCGCTGCGATCTTCCTAGCTGGGAACGGGCTCGCCAGCGTGGCCAACAATGGGGCATACAAATCTGGCGGCGTGTACAGCGTCAAGAAAGCACGTAGCGAATCTGAGGACTATGACAACCCGCCCAACCCTACCCCGTCTGATTCTGTGCCAAGGCCGGATCAACATGGACATGGGCGGGATAAATGCCCTGCGGCATGCACCAGAGCTATTGGCAAGTTAGCCGGCCAAGTCAAGAGCTCGGATAAGAAGTTAGGCAAACGAATCTCAGAGTTGGAAAGGAAGTCAGGCGCCCGAATCGAAGCCTTAGAGAGGAAACTTCAGCAGCTGGTGAATGAGCCGCGCTACGAGGTTAAGTTCGAGACTGGAATGTGGAACAACTGGGATGCTGTCAAGGGTGTAGTCCCTCAGCCAGCAAATACTTCTACGCGCATCACCTTTTCGAAGAAGTACAAATCGATCCCAACGGTATTTGTAAGTCTTTCCGAATTAGACGTGTCCAACGGATATAACCTCCGAGCAAAGGTCTATGCGACGGAAGTCGATACAGAAGGATTTACGGCGCACGCGGACACCTGGTGGGATACACAGTATTATTCGGCCACCGTGGCATGGTTGGCCATGGGATCTTGATGGTCTCTATGACGTGAGGGTTTGACACTAGAGGTTTTCACTCAGAATTAATATAATGATCACACACTTTAGTATTCACTTTGGCCTTTTAAGACATATTTTCCCACTACAGACTACGTCGGATTATGCAAACTACAATTGATGTCTTGCAGGGTTAAAAGCCACTCCATTCAATCTACTGGCTGCTCAAGTTCGGTGGGCAGGCTATAATCCACTGAATGTTAACTAGTGGACACTGGAGGATTGGGGCGGATTGGCTCAATGGCAAGAGCCTCGGTAAAGCCATAAGTGACCTGCTTGCCTTTATATATATTGTGAATGCTATCTGTCAGATAAAACTGACAAAGTTATAGGCTGATCAGCTCTAGTCAGTTAGGATTAACGGCGTATAGGCTGTTAAATAGTCTGACGTCTCCGCTGGTGGCCTATGCCAAAAACGTTGCAGCGGCTGACAAATTTTCAGAAGTGTTACGGGTTGTTTATTTGCGCCGCAATAAAGTGCCAGGAATCTTATACCTCTATGATTAACTATTCGTGCTAGTCGTGGAATTTCTTAGTTAGTTGCATGAAAGCTTCGCATCGCGTGCGAGGGCCGGCAGATTAACACTTTCGCTGAGATAATTTGAATTTAGTACAGTACTCTTAAGCAGGGGCTTAAGAGTATAGTAGAAGAAATAGGGGCATAGAAAGGTAAATTTAGTAATATATATCTTAGTCTATCTATTAAGATAAGGGAGGGGCTTATATAGGTATTATAACTATATATAGCTAGCTAAAAGAGGGCATTAAGATATTCCTATACCTAAGTTAGGCCTATATAATATCCTTAGGCTAGGGGAGTTATATTAGTTAGGTAGGATTCCTTATATATAACTATTAGGTCTACTAGGGATAACTATAGCCTCTTATACCTACTCTCCTTAATATACCCCCTTACTACCTTAGCTTTTAAATAATAGGGTAATAAATAGAGGAGTATTTAGTTTAATAAATATAAGGCTATTCTAATATTAAACTCGGCTACTTTATTATGTATTTAAGGAGGTTATCCTAAAATAAAGGTATTACGAAGACTATTACGCTATATAGGCAAAAGTAGAACGCCCGCTTTAATAGGTACGCTATAAATAATATATATCTAATAACCGCGTCTTTTAATAAAAGGAGGCTCTTAATTATATCCTATAAAAAGGGAAGGTAAATATAGTAAAAGGTAATATAGTTTAGTAACTAATACTATATATCCTTTAAGTTCGTAGTACTAGTTACCCCTCTTACTAAAGGAGGGTTTAAATATTAATTAGTTAGGGTTATATACCTTACTCTTACCGCTTAACTTAGTAGTTAAAGGCTATTATTATTAACCCCTCTTATAAGGGATATAGCTATTATAGGGCTAGGTAAAAAGAATAGTATATAAAAGATAAAAGCTAGGACCTAGGGGAGAGGATATAGGGAGAAGCCCCTTATATCCTATCTCCTTAGGTCCCTAAGTTTATTACCCGCGCTCCTCTTAGGGCGTAGTTATATAACCTACTCTTCCGCCCTAAGGGGAGTCGAACTTACGATTAATAGGGTTATATAACCTACTCTTACTATTTAACTAGTAGTTATAAGTTATATTTATAACCTTCCTTATAAGGAGGGGTATAGCGGGGCATCTCTTTAAGTAGCCTAGGTACTATAGTACTTTTACTAGCAACGTTATCCTTTAAAATAAAAGTAATCTTAAAGGTAGGCTTTTTAGTAATATATTCCTTATATTAATTAGTCTTAATTTAGTAAAGCTATCGTAATTACTATAAGTTTAAGCGCTATAGTATTATATTAATTAGGAGGTAGTCTAGTAATTACCTTACTTCTTAGTAGTAAATAAAGGTAACCTTTACCCCTTAAATCTTTATAGTTTCTTAACTAAATTAAGATCTAACTATTATAGAGTAGGCAGAGGCGTAGGCTTAGGTGCGGTCCGTTAAAAGAAGGTCAATAATCTACGAGGGGGAAAAGGAAGAGAAGTATAGGCCTAGCCTATATAGGCGCGGAGGCCGCTTATATATAGACTTAGCCTAGACCCTAGTCTAGGCCTATATAGGGCAAAAGCCCGTATATTATACCCCTACCCGGCTTTTAAAGAGGCGCGCCTCTAAATAATACCCGATACCGCGCCTAGGGGGACGGAACCCTCGCGCGGACTACGTACGCCTAGTCGCGGAAAAAACGTTAGCAAACAACGCACAATACCCTCCTAAGCGAGCTTGGGCACTCCCTTTCGCTATAGTTATATTATATTAGCGGCCATCCTATATCTTAGCCGCCCTTTCGGTCGCTGCGGGCATACGTCCCGTCTATATAGTAGCTGCTACCGCACGCGAGGGGACGCTAACGAAGCCTATAGAGGCGTTACTAAGATCACTCGTCGCTGTCGTCGAACCTAACCTCCTTTCCGTCCTAGCGCGTGCGCCCCTCTACTACTTAGAGTGCGTTTACCCGCGCCTCCCGGCGCGGGCACTTTAAAAACTAGTAGGATTTGCTACCGTAGCCTATATAGCGACCCTCCTATCGCTACCTCTTTCTATCCTCGGTCCTTAAGGCAAAGATAGAGATATCTATAGCATTACTAGCGTTATCCTCTTCTTATACTATAGAAGAAGATAAAAAAAGAAACTTATTACTACTAAGCTCGCGAAGAAGGCGGACGAGATTAGTATACGTATCTAGTAGTATAGACCTTTCGCTTAAACGGGTACGCTAATCCGAATTTAAGCTCGTAATAAGGTAATTGCACTTTACCGCGTCGGGCTAGCTATATACGTTTACTCGATAAAGCACCTCTTCGAACTATATAAGGTAGGCCGAAATAGCTTTACTCCGCTTTTAATAGAGCGTTATAAGCTCCTAGCCTACCGACTTAGCTACGTTAGGTTCGCCGTAATTAGTGCGGAGCTTTATAAGGAGGTCGGCTAGTCTATTTATGCTAGTACGCGTAAACGGTAAGAGATACCTTTATAGGCGTAGGGATAGGCTCGCGTAAAGATAGTCGAATTAGGCGCGGATATCCCTTATTACGGCGCTATCGGTATAGAGCTTCGCTTCTATATAAAGTAGCCACGGCTCGAGCTCTATAGAGGAGCCGTCGAACTTACTAAGGTGCGGTAGTACCGCTCTTAGTCGTGCGGAGCCCTACTATTATAAGAGGCTCTCGATTGCCCGGGCGAATTAAGTATTACGTTCGCCTTAATTTTGCGACTATAGGAGTACGGATATTTCGCGTGCGTATATACCGGCGCGGGCGGTTTAACTAGACTAAGTAATTAAACCTTAGCTTTAAAGGCAGCTAAAAATAGCTATTCTATATACGGGGATATAGAGAGGGTAAAATAAAGGGTAGATTATACTATTACGGAGTTAGTAGAGGCGTAGGCTTAGGTGCGGTCCGTTAAAAGAAGGTTAATAATCTATAAGGGGGAAAAAGAAGAGAAGTATAGGCCTAGCCTATATAGGCGCGGAGGCCGCTTATATATAGACTTAGCCTAGACCTTAGTTTAGGCCTATATAGGGCAAAAGCCCTTATATTAACTATGCTATTAAAATCCCTTAATCTTAGTAAATATAGTAGTATTTATATTATTAGAGTCTAGCGATTATTAAGTTCGCTATAGTTCTTATATAGAGAGATATAAGAAGTATATATAAAATATATAAAGGTAAAATTAAAAGTAAGGGGTCTAATTTAAAAGTAAGAGGTTAGATAGGTAAGGCAGAGATATTTAATTCTTATAGGGGCAGTAATTATAATAAGGGAGTAATTATTATATTATCTTAATTATCCTTCTTTCCTTTATTTAACGCCCCTCTTTATACTAGTTTAGTATCTTAATTAATAAAGAAGATCCTACTTAAAGAAGCTATTAATATCCTTTTAATTACTAAGCTTTTTACTAGTTTTTCCTTTCCTTTCTAGCCGTTGCTAGTATATCTATCTTATCTCTCGCTACCTTTATAGGAAGCTATCGCTACTTTTACTTCCCCTTATACCCCTACCCTCCTTTCTATACCTCCTTTTAGCTCCTTTTTTAAAACCGGTTTTTTAGCTTCCTAGGTCCCTTATACTAAGGGATATCTCTAAGAACTATAAATTAAGCTACGCTTCGCGATATACCCCCTTAGCTATAGCCTGCCCCTTAAGGGTAAAGTTAAATAATTAGGCTAGTAAGGGTATAGAGGAGGTCTTAGTTTATACTTATCCCTTACTTAAGAAATCCGGGTTTTAGCCCTAGGCTCTTTTAGACCGACTTTAGGAAAAGGGGCCTAAGGAGGAAATTAAGTCCTATAAGAAAGGGGGGCTTCTTTAAAGATAGGTCCTTAAAAAGGGGGCCTTTAAGAAGAATAAGTCCTAATTAAGCTAGGGGCCCTCCTTTAAGATAAGTCCTAGTTCTTTACTTTAGCTATAAATATCTCCTTCTTCTTATATACTATTAGCTCCTCTCGTAAACTCTTAAGGCGGGCTTTTAATAATAGCTTTTCTTAAACGTTTTCTAGCTTAATTTACTATAAAAAGATAGCTAGCTTTTACTTTAGTAGGGGCTTCGTAAGACTATTAGCTTTTATTAATACTATTAGAACCTAATAAATAGAAATAAGTCCCTTTTAGACCTCTTAGCGTAACTAATTCTTAAGGTATATAAGCAAAAGCGGAATTTTAGGAAATCAAGGAATTACGTAAGACTACGTAATAGAGGGGAAGAAGGAGTATAAGGTAGGATTTTCAACGGAATTTATTAGTAGTGTATTAGTGTATGGAAGAGGTGTTAAAGTTAATGATTCTCGATCTATCTACTAGCGGACATGCTGTCTTATATAGACAATTGTAGCTAAACGGAAGAACCTTTCGGGACCAGATTTAGGCTGCCGTATAGCCCTGAGACTAGGGAATTCTATGATACCTCGAGTGAATCTAGAAGTGTCTTGGTTTCACTAATATTCGTGTTTAAAGGAGGTTAGTCGTGCCGGTGTTCTTAAGAGGTCTTAGCTAGCATTCTAAGCTAGCTCTATTCCTTCGATTCCCGATTGTACGATAACCGGCAACCCGTTTAATGCATAATAACATGCAAAATAACGAGCGATTCTTACTCTATAGGATGAGATTTTATCTATAATTAATATACTACTTATTAGCTTATATAATCGGGAGAGTATATTATAGCTGCTTTATTTATAGTAGGAACACCGTTCCTTATAATAACTATTTTATATAAGTATTAAAAGGGCTAACTATATAACTTATATCCTTTTATTAGTTATATAATCTATTTATTCTATTATTAAAAGAGCCTTTTCCCTATTAATAACTAATATAGTTATCTTAACTTTATACTAAGTCTTAAGTAACGCTATAAAGTTATTAAAGATATCCTTAACACTTATTTTTCTTTCTATTAAGTAATAAAACCTTATAGATATATCTATATAAGTAAATAAAGCGAAGTTCTTTTCCTTATTATATACTATTATAGGGCTAGGATAAAGGTTAAAGCTAACTTATACCCTTAGACCTTTAGGCTTTAAGAATAGTATTTCTCTTAAGACTTCCTTCTTAGCTTTCCTTATTATATATATTTAATAGCTATATATTATAGGGCCTTAAAGCTTAGTACCTAAGTAGGCTTTTAATAGCTTCTTTAGTAATTTTAGACTAAGATACTTAAGGCGGCGATATTATAGGTTACCTACCCCCTTAGTTAGCGGCTTAAGCGCTTATATAACTATAAATACCTACTTCTTATATTATAAGAGTATTCTTATTATAAATTAGCCTTTAAAGTTAGTTAGTTTAATATAAATATCCTTTATAGGTTCTAAATAAAGGTATCCTAAGAGCTAGTTTTAGAATATCCTTACTATTATCCCTAGCCTAGCTAAGAAGATACTTATTAGTATTTCTAAGATAAAGTAAGTATCTAGTAAAGTTATCTTCTTACTATTAATTATAAGGATAACTACTATTCTTATTCCTTATACTATAAAGGCTTAGTTTTAACCTAGACTTTATTATTAAAACCTTACTATTATATACTAGTCTCTTAGTATAAGGCTAGTACTTTAACCTAGCCGTTTACTTAAATCTAGTATAGGTTTAATAAGTAATTAAACGGACTAGCTACTATATATAATTAAACGTATTATATAAACTAGCTACTATATAGTATTATACGCGTTAAATATAGACTAGCTACCGGTCTTATAAGTTAAAGTAAGAGTAGTAATAACTATTTATATTTTTCTTTACTCGCCTAGGATCTAATAGGTTCTCTATCCTTTATATATACTATAGCGAGCGTAAGACCTTACTTAGGGCTTTAACTTAGTAATATCTTAACCTTATAATTATATAATAGTAGTATAGCGTATTAGCGGTATTTCCTAGTATTTTCCCTAAGTTAGTATAGGTATTTCTCTATAATTTCCCCGCTATATTTTTATAGTAACTTCTTAGGGAAATCTTAGTATAGTCCTTAAGGAGCTATTATTACTTAGGAAATTATAGTATATTCCTTATATAATATATCCCTAGGGGAAATCTCTATAAAATATCTATATAATCCGCTTAGTTATTATTTCTAGGATTTCTAGGTAATTTCCTAGAGTTTACTTAGTAGCTTCTAGGTTCCTTCTTTCGCGGGGAGCCTTAGGGAGTTAAGGGTAACTTCCTTAAGGGAAGCAGATATCGTTATAGGTACCTAGATTATCGACTATAGGGTGTCCCGTAATACTTACTTAAAAGTTCCTTCTTAGAACTATCCTAGGTTATTAAAGAGGTTAATATTAGCCCCTAAGTTATAGATTTATTTATTAGTAAGTAATAGCGTTCCCTTAGTAGCTATATTTACCTTAAATAAAGTAACTATATTAATAGTCTCTCCTTACTTATTATTATCGCGAAGTATAGCTTAATTTTATAGTTCTCGAAGATATCCCTTAGTATAAGGGACCTAGGAAGCTAAAAAATAGGGTTTAAAGAAGGAGTAAAAAGGAGGTATAGAGAAGAGGGTAGGGGTAAGAGGGGAAGTAGAAGTAGCGATAGCTTCCTATAGAGGTAGCAAGAGATAAGACGGATATATTAGTAATAGCTAGAAAGGAGGGGAAAAACCGGTAAAAAGCTCGGTAGTTAGAAGGATATTAGTAGCTTCTTTAAGTAGGATCTTCTTTATTAATTAAGATGCTAGATAGGTATAAAGAGGGGCGTTAGATAGAGGAAAGAAGGAAAATAAAGGCAATATAATAATTACTCCCTTACCGTAATTACTGCCCCCGTAAGAATTATATATCTCTGCCCTACCTATCCGACCCCTTACTTTAATTTTACCTTCGTATATTTTTATATACTTCTTATATCTCTCTTTATAAGAATTATTACTAATAATAGTATCTATTAGTTCTCTTCCTTTAAGGTATAAATTAAGGGTCTAGGCTAAGTATTTTACTTTCTTATCTAAATAGTTCTTTAGCTGTTTTTCGATATTCTATTTAGCTAAATTACTATATTTCTAGCTTAATAAGGACTTCTTATTATATATTACTTATAATAAGTAGTAATTTTCTTACTAGCTTATTAAGCTATTAACGTACTACTTATAGCTAATATATTTAGCTTAGGTATTTATTTTCCTAGAGATTTAATTAGCGCTTCCTTTTTTATAGCTAGTTATAACTTCTTACTATAAGTATATTCTTATTTAAAGTTAGCGGTTAGGTTCCTTAAAGGAAGTTAATCTTTACTATATCTTTTATTATAAAAGTTAAGAGCCCTTATTATTATAGGCTAATATAGGTCCTACTTATCTACTATTATAAGAAAATCCTATTTAATTCTTATATTGTTAAGTATATTAACCTTAAGGTCTCGTAAATCTATAATAATTTAGTCGAGCTATTCTAACTAAGCTTTCTAGTCTTATATACCTCTTTTATTAATAAAGGTCGTATATTTCTTATAAATTAGCCTTTTCTCCTTTACCCTTAAAGGTAGGGCTTACTTCTTTAATTCCTTAATTTTCTCTCTTAGGCTATTATATATTAAGGTTGCCCCTTAAAGCTCTTTACTAATTATTCTCTTAATTAATTCTTTAAGTATAATTAAAGCTTTTTACTAGACCTTATAGCTATTAAATTATAGCTAGAACCTTTTCTTAAGGTTATAAAAGGAGTCCTTAATATCCTAGTATCGTTTGTTATAGCTTATTCGCTTTATAAGGAATATAGCCTTAGCTTTATCTTCTTATTAAGAAGGTCTCCCTTTAAGATTAATAATAAATTACTCTTAGTCTAGCTATTAAGGCTATTTAAGCTCCTTTATATTATTTAGGTTAGTATATACTAAAATATTATAAGTCTAGGCCTATAATTTAATCCCCTTAATCTATAAGGTCTAATCGAGGCTTTCCCTTAGTCTTATAATATAATTATCCCCTCTTACTTCCTTTAATATTATCTTAGGAAAAATAAAGGTTCTAGCTTTATAAGTAATATCCTTCTTTAAGGGATATATAATTCGTATTTCATATATTTATAATAGTGCCCCTTAGTATAGCTAGGTTCCTTGCCTTAATACTATAATTTGAGCGTTATAACGGCGTTAATAGCTTATAAATAGCTTTAGAGGTAATATCGGTAGGCAAAAGATAATCTAGCCGTATAGGCCGGGCTTATAACTCTTAAGTAGGGGCTTAAGAGTATAGTAGAAGAAATAGGGGCATAGAAAGGTAAATTTAGTAATATATATCTTAGTCTATCTATTAGGATAAGGGAGGGGCTTATATAGGTATAGTAACTATATATAGCTAGCTAAAAGAGGGCATTAAGATATTCCTATACCTAAGTTAAGCTTATATAATATCCTTAGGCTAGGGAGTTATATTAGTTAGGCAGGCTTCCTTATATATAACTATTAGGTCCACTAGGCATGACTATGGCCTCTTATGCCCACTCTCCTCAACAGTACTTAACACCGAGAAAGATACTGCTATAGTCACTCAATGAGGCTTACAATACCCTTAATAACACGGCAATTCATACGAGTTAGCACACGCATGCTATAAGCGTATTGACGAGCTATACGCCGCACGCCATTCTCTAAGAATAACGATAAGCTTGCTAGCAGCCCTCAATCTAGCTCGTCCGGTAACAAGGCTAACAAGGCTGCCAAGCCACAAGTGACAGCACCAGCCGGTTAACCTTACACAAGACAAAATTGTCGTCGCGATGCCCGCGCAAGAGCCCTTGCAAGATGCGGAAGGTAAGTCGTCTGGGACGGCTGAGGTGGAAGTGATCGAATTAATGTAATTGGTAACTAAGGGTAGGATAGAAATACTAGAACTATTACGGCTCATCTTTATCTAGACCTATTCATTCCCTACTAAAGCTAGGGGCAACGGCGGGGCTGGTGATGGAAGATGAAGTTCGGGGCCCAGCGTCACCGGGTCCCTACATCGGGCGCAGCCAATTACACCTTTCGTGAGTTTCCTAAAATTTCGTTCCTTCGGGCCCTTTTTGCGGGAATCGCGACAAACACATACATGTGAAGTATATCGGCTCCCCTACTCTGGTCCAACAAGGTTACTGGTTAGGGACAACAGCCGGACAACCAGAAGCGATGCCACGATCCGTAGCAACGCCACCAGCTGTGGCAGTATCACCAGCCGTAGCCGCGTCACCAGCCGTAGTGGTGTCACCGGCGGTAACAGTGCCACTAGCCGGAGCGGCGCCGGTAGCAGGGCGAGCGGCAGTGGCGGGATCGGCAATAGGAGGAGCAGCAGCAGGAGCAGCAGCAGGAGCAGCAGCAGGAGGAGCAGCAGCAGGCGGAGCAGCAGCAGCAGGAGGAGCGGCCATAGCAGTTCCCCCCTGATTCTGAGCTTCCTGCGCACGCTCTTGCGCCCTAAGCTGTGCCTCCTGGGCCCTCTCCTGGGCCCTCATCGCGCTATTTTGCGCCCTCTGCGCCCTGTCTTGGGCCTTTTCCTGCGGCGTCTTCTTCTCGCGCTTCGTAGCCTTGTTATATGCCGTTGCTTCCTGAGAAGTAGTGACAGCTTTCATTTGGTTATTAATTGCCATGCTTGTAGCTAACCGGCCGCGGCTAAACTCTAGATATAGCTGATTAGTGCATAAACTTAAGGTCAGAGTAGCACAGAGAGGGCTCTATCGTACCTCTGGCCCCGAGAGCAACAGACACGGGCGCCGAGGCAACTAGGCTGACCGAAATAACGAGGCATAGTGAAATAGTTCCGACGGTCTTCATTGTCGTGAAGGCTTAGTGCCTGTAGAAAACAAAAGATGTAAAGGAAAAATAGTGCCGAGTCTGGCTCTTCAATCAGAAGAAGATACAGGTAATGATATTCGGTTCGGTAAAACGCGGTGGTTTCTTGACAAAGAGCAAGACCATAGCACAACCAAGCTGCGAGAATCGCCCTCAATATAAGAAGAAGATAATCCACCACTATCCCTAGCAAGAAAACGTGATATCTTATTCAATGCTAGTTCCCGACTCAAAACACTCCCGAGACAGACCACCAAAAACAAGTTGCAATGTAATGTGACATTGACGTCAATGCTGCTTTGTCGAGTTTCAAAGATTGCCTCGCCACAAGCTCGCAGGTGGTATCGGCGGAAAGCCAGTACATGAGTTTAAGGATACTAGTGAAGACTGCAGAGGATGCAGCTTTCATCGGGGTGTCGAAAGGCCGAGCCAGTCTCAAGTCTCAGACGTGCTCCGCTTTGACTTTAACTCGGGTAAGCTAGCGGCTACGGAAACAGCGGGCGAACTATTCTTCTTCATAGCGCCGAGGAGGATTATTATATGATCGACGTAGTTTTGAAAATTTTTGGCGACGGTACGTGCGCGGGAAGATGCTGTTGATTCGAGGCCATGCGTCTTTAAAAAGCGGGTAACTGGGAGCTTGGCTGATTCCACCCCTTGTTTCGATCGAGGGGTCCGGCTCGATGCATGTGACAATAACCTCAGGATCGCTGCCGGAGAGGCTGATGCCAGAATTTTAACAAGTTGAAGGATGGCTGCTTGCTTGGCGACGCTGCGGGCAACCAGAGGGCGCTGAGACCGACGACTTGCAGCCGTTGCCGCCGCAACAGCCATGCATTTAAATTCCAACCGCAGCTCTGATAAATAAAACCCGCGGTTCCTTCTGCAGGTACTCTCGAACTGAGACTCAAGAGCACAACGGAAGGTAGGGGTAGACACACAAGGGCATAATCGACTGTGCTCTAGCTAGTAGGACACCAAGGCCCTCTTTGCTGGTATAGCTACCTCGCTCGGACCCTTTTAAGGGCCCTGGCAAGCCGCAACCTTAATACTTATTAGGTCTCGAAACAAAATGCTACTCATCTCTTGTCTTTTATGTAAAGGGACGACTATCTAGCGGGGTCATTGTGTGAGGCCCTTGCCCTTGCGCAGATCCCACAGGGTCCATCTCTTTTACGGCAGCGATCCCGACGACTGGGATTACTTAACTCGTGCCCCCCTGGCCAATCTTATTGGAATACGTAATCTGGTGCTTCAGTGGCGCACAGAGGACAGGAAGACGGCGAAGCAACTCGCCCAAGATCTGGATCAACTCGTGGGGCGTTTACGTCGTGTTTCGGTTTTCGACGGGCATGTCTACATCGACATCCCTCAGGTGCTGCTGATTTAGCTAGCTTAACCAAAGGCGCGGTAATTAAACTAATACCTACTGTACTGTACGTTGTAAAAAAAAGGGTCGACTTATTAAAATATCTCACCAACGACTGGGTCAAACTCATCGCGCATATATCCGCCGATATAATCTTCACCGTATTTCTCATAGAGCGATCCACTCCATCACCATAGAGAAAAAGACGGACAGGTTCGCTCACCCAGACGTCCGCCCAATTATCCACGTGTCTAGCAGCAGCCCAGTAGTCAAGTGTGGTCTGTGTCGTATTGGGCCTCTATCGCCATGGAGGCGAATCGCGCACCGTCTCTCTCCGCAAGCTCCATGATAGTATCATCGACATCTACCCAGGCCTGCGAACCAAGCTCTACAGAGCGCAGGGTTTCTGGTAGTGACGTGAGCAAGGAGACGAGAAACCCCGAAATGCCAAAAAGTGTCGTGGGCGGGACCATTGATCTCCGGGGAAAACGCAAGGGCAGTTTGGCTATACATGGAGTCAGTTGCGAGGACATACGAACACGGCGGACCACGATGGGCGGTTTGCGATGTCGCACTCTCCCCGACGACATCTAGCCACGGGAACGAATCAGAAAATAGAAGCGCAGCCCATATTATAGCGATACTATATGTATTGCATAGGATGTGGCCCACCGAGCAGTGGATATTTCCAGTCACGAGGCCCTCATCTAAGCCTCCAAAACAGAGTTCATCCTTCCTGCCAAGAGACGAAGACATTGATGGCCTTTCTTTTTCCGCTGCCCCGCGCTTTCCCCTCCCTTCGACCCAGTTTTCTCTTTTATCATTGAAGGTCGCTGAAGATGGACGCCACATTTCCCCTCTTCATGCGGCCTCACCTCGACCGTCTAGTTATTCCTCAGTTCCGAGTTGTCGAGCCGTGAAAGACGTTGGTTCAGAATCGAGGAAACCATGGCGTCTCTCAAACAGACTGCGTACGGCGTGCCCTCTCCCGAACTGTGCGAATGAAGCATGTTGAGTCTGACCCGCAACAGCCGCTCCTTCACCCTCAACTCGGGCGACCAGATGCCCGCCGTCGGCCTCGGCACCTGGCGCTCCAAGCCGTCCGAGGTCCGGGCCGCCGTCGAGGCCGCCCTCCGCGTCGGCTACCGACACATCGACACGGCCGCCGCCTACGGCAACGAGGCCGAGGTCGGCGCCGGCATCCGCGCCTCGGGCGTCCCGCGCGACCGCATCTGGCTCACCACCAAGCTCAACAACCCGGACCACCGCGACGTCGCCGCCGCCCTCGACCGCAGCCTCGACCGCCTCGGCACCGCCTATGTCGACCTGTACCTGATGCACTGGCCCAGCTCCACCGACCCGGCCGACCCCAAGCGCCACCTGGCCGACTGGGACTTCCGCGACACGTGGCGCGAGATGCAGAAGCTCGTCGGCTCCGGCAAGGTGCGCAACATTGGCGTGTCCAACTTTGAGTGCACCAACCTCGACAAACTGCTGCGCGACCCGGCCTGCAAGCTCGTGCCCGCCGTCAACCAGGTCGAGCTGCACCCGGGCTACCCGTCGCCCGAGCTCGTCGCCTTGAACGCGTCCAAGAGCATCCACAGCACCGGCTACTCGTGCCTCGGCTCCCAGGACTCGCCGCTGTACCGCAGCGCCACGCTGCTCGGCATCGCAAAGGCCAAGGCCAAGACGCCCCAGCAGGTCCTGCTTATGTGGGGGCTGCAGAAGGGCTGGAGCGTTATCCCCAAGAGCGTCACCCCGGCCCGCATCGAGACCAATTTCCAGCTCGACGGCTGGAGCCTGAGCGACGACGAGGTCAAGGCCATTGACGGAATCCGCGACGCCGAGGGGGCCTTCAAGGTCTGCGACGACGCGTGGCTGCCCGTCCGCGTCTTTGACGACAAGTTGAAGCAGTGAGCAGGTCAAAGAGGACTCGATATCCAAGTAAGGGGGGGCAACCAACCTTGGGCTCAAGGGTAGACGTAGACGGTCCCAGAGTAGAAACAAGATGAGATAGAAACAAACATGGAAAAATACTCGAGCGAAACAGCGTTGCCTGTTTATCATCTCTTACTGGTTGCCTCGTATGTACGAGGACCCTTGTCCCATGGTGCAGGTGTTTGTGTGCTTGTCTCGATTGAAGCCTCCGTTTATCGTCCTCGACCATACCGTGCTGTTGATGCAAGCCTACAGCTTGGCTTTGCCCGGGAACCGCTGCTTCCCGCCGTCTCGCAAGGGAACTTGGTGGTCGCGCTGCTGCTTCTCTTCCTCCAGCACGGCAGCAATGTGGCGCCGCAGCTCAACAACCAGCGCATCGGCCTCGTCCTCGTCAAGCTCCTCCCGCCTCCCGCGGCCAAACATGGTGAAGCTCTCGCGGAAGCGGCCGCTGGCACGGATCTCGGGGCGGGGGATGAGGTGGAAGTGCATGTGAGGGACGACCTGGGCCGCGGCGGCGCCGTTGTTCTGGACCACGTTCCAGTCGGCGACGCCGGTGGCGCGGGCCAGGGCGGCGGAGAGGACGCGGACGTAGGCACCGAGGTGTCGGGCCTCGCGGGGGGTGGCATCGGTGAGCTTGGGGCGGTGGGCGCGCGGGCACAGCAGCAGGTGGCCTGGCGAGAGCGGCATGATGTCGAGGAAGGCGACGAGGTCGGGCGTCGACAGCACCACGTACGAGGCGGGCGTGGTGCGCTGGGCGGCCGACGACGAGGGCGGGTCGAGGGGGTCGTAGGGCGCGTGGGCGGCGGCGATGGCGCAAAAGGGGCAGAAGTCGGCGGCCGACGGGGGCGAGGGATCAAACATGGCTGCTGATGATGTCGTCGTCGTCGTCGTCTTGATGGGGGGGGCTCAAGTGCCAGACGCAGAGGCAGCCTGCCGACTGCGCACTGGCCAGGGCAGAAGGGCTTCGAGAGAGAGACAGAAAAGAAAGAAATACGTCAATCAAGGCAGATGTAGCGGATAAACGACGTTGGGCAGGGTGGATGACGGACGGATGGCTGGGTCTCGCGATGCCGAGGTTGGTGGATGGTTGGTGTTCTTTTTTTTAGGCCGTAATTCCAATCCAATCCCTCTCGGCGAACCGCGAGTCTCCAACGCCGAGGTCCAACTGAACCCTGAACCACCCCCAAGCCGTGAGTGCAGGCATCAGACTCTTGAATCGAAACACGTACGTACATTGACCGCTCGCTTTTTGTGTAAAGCGTGCGTGACACTGCGGTCCGGTCCGGGCTTCGGCCGCCTAAAATATATGCATGGGCAAGACTTGTTATCCAAGACGCCTCTTTCAAAACAGCGGCAAGCCATAGCGTCTGCCGCTGGGTACAGCTGAACATCAACAACGCCATCTTAAAGCTGACTCGTGCCCCGGCGAATGACACGCTTATCCAGGACCGCATGACGCGTATTCCCAGGCCATTTCCTCTCGGCAATGCCATGAAGAGCCAGGGAGCGTGAGCGCTGCTATAAAGGGGAAGCATTAACTACTCCGTACCAGATGGATGTTTGTCCCGAATGACACGGCCATATCGTTGCTACAAAGCCGACAAAAGCATCGCGTCGGCAGCACCTGGTACTCTGGCACCATTGCCATCTCGGAGCGACGGCGGCAATTGGTCCACGGCCCGGCTTCGCATCGAGGCGCAGCAAGCAACACCACCCCAGCACCCTGGCCGAGCTCCTCACCTCAGTCTCAGTCTTGTCAAAGACACTCACCTCAGAGGGAGACTATTGGATCGTCAACGTCGAGTCGTCGGCGAGCCGGCGCGCATCTGACCATGGCTTCGCATTCTCGTGACAACCACCTCCGGGCTCTGCGTCACGTCTACACCGCCAACGACCCCCTCAGCAGACAAGCCGTCTTCACCAAAGTGCGAGAAGGCGCCCAGACCACCTACAGCGAGGGCGGCTTGGCCATTGACACCATCTACGGGGCATCCACGCTGGACACGCACCCCGGCCAGGACAGCGAGGCTGCAGCCCGCAGTGCGCTCGGAGCCGGTGCCGCGAGCCCGGGCGGGACCGTCTGCAGGGTCGTCGACTTTGCACCCCTGCACGAATGCGCCATGAGCCGCGGCCAGAACCTCGACTACGCGGCCGTGATTGAGGGCAGCATTGTGCTGAGCCTGGACTCGGGCCAGGAGACGAGGCTGGAGCGCGGCGACGTGGCTGTACAGCGGGCGGCGAGCCACGTCTGGCGGAACCCGAGCAAGACGGAGTGGGCCAGGGTGTTTTTCGTCCTCCAAGATTCTTCACCGACCACGCCGAGCAGCAGCAAGTGCTACATATAGCAGGGCTTGCGTCGAGGGCGAGAAAGGCAACCAGCTTGGAAGCCAGGGCCCGCGGGGGTAGGCGAGCGAGCACAGCAGCTCATTGTCGTGCTCCGATCGATTGCCGCCGACGCAGGTCTCTGGAGGCCGAGGGGCCTCGACGATGAATTCGACGACGTGCCAAGTCTGCTGGAAGGAGTCGCGGCTGGGAGGCTTGATGTGAATGCGCGGGAACTGAGAATGTCTCACATAGTGGCTGGCGATGCAAAGACCGAGCTGTCATCGTCTTGCTGCAAAGAGTGTGTCCGTACCCGCACACCTACGGTCCGAGTTGGCCGAGCATCATGGGGCCGACCGAGAAAGGCCAACAAACAAACCATGACCAAAGCCCGGGCTGTGACTCGCCCGCCCCCACGATGGATGATGCCAAGGCTGACTAATGAATGGCCCCTGTGCGATTACGTACTCACTCAGTCACCCACCAAACTCAACCAGCCCATGGCGTGCCCCGCCCTTTTCCACGCCCGTGAATTTCAAAGCCGACGTCGGATGCGTAATCACATCTTGCTGCATTTCTTTCCCTACCTGCCGAGTCCCCCCTCCCATCGTCGCCCAAGCCCGTCGATTCTCCCAACATCCTCAACCGCACAGAGTCCGAAATGGCCCCCTCGCCTGCCATCGTCACCATCGACACGGCTGCCGACTTCAGCCCCGCGCCCATGCCCACTGCGGGGCGCAACTTGCTCCTCGCCCCGCCGTCAGTGGCAGCCCGCGAGGACAAGCTACGCGACCTCTTTGCCGACTTGGACCGCGCATACACAGACCTGCAGATGCTCGACCGCCTCTCCGCCGGTCTCGTCGCCCTCCCGCCCGCCACCTACGACCTCGTCCTCGTCCTGACCGACACCGATGGCGCACGGCGCGCCGAGGCCCTCCAGCTCCTCGGTCGCCACGTCTACGCCCAGCTCGTCCCCTCCATGAGGGTCGGCGCCAAGCTTCGCTTCCAGGACGGCCCCCTCGGCTCCGGTGACGCCAAAGAGGCCATCTTGGCGGGGCTGGTCGACGCCGACGGCGCCTTCGAGAAGCGCGACGACGAGGATGCTGCGGTGCCCCTGCGCCTGGGCAACAAGAAGAAGAAACAGGATGCGCCGCCAAGCGGAGTGCCGAGTGCGCCCAAGTTGGACTTTGCCAATCTCGACGCCGATGACGACGACGACTTGATTGACGAAAACGACTTGCTGTCCGAAGAAGATCTCAAGAGGAGGCCCGTGATACGTTCGTCTACCCTCGCCCCGCCGCCGTCGACGGGCGAGAGCTAACCTACCAGCCAACAGCCACAAACTGCGAACCCACGAAGCGACGCCGCCCCTGCAAGGACTGCACCTGCGGGCTCGCCGCCAAGTTCGAGGCCGAGGACCGCGGCCGCCGCGCAAGGGCCAACCAAGGCCTCGACGCCCTCAAGCTCAACGCAACCGACCTCAACGAGCTCGACTTCACCGTCGAGGGCAAGACGGGCTCGTGCAACAACTGCTCCCTCGGCGACGCCTTTCGCTGCTCCACCTGCCCCTACATTGGCCTGCCGGCGTTTAAGCCTGGCGACGAGGTGCGCATCCTCAACGACGTGGTGCAGCTGTGAGCGGGTTGGGGGCGGAATGCATGGGACGGCGTTTAGGGTGTTGCACATATCCGTACGGGGCCTCGATGACATGGGATGGGATAGGGCATGAGTTGGCCTAGATTTGAACGGGCTTTTGGTTACGCATGTGTGCCTATTAAAGAGGGTCTGTAGTCCCGGAGCCGGCCTACTGGTATCCATCGTGTCGAAATGGACAGTGCCATGGCGTGGACTAGGATGACTTGAAAAAGTGCTTGAAAGACGTATTGAATATGCCTTGAGGAACGAAGTGCCTTGGGGAACCAAGTGACGAAAAAGACCTATTGCCCCGCGAGGTATCGCGCCGAAAATCCCCAACCGTCTTTCTGGCCCTCTATTAATTCGCCCGCTCTTTATAGTCCTCTAACTCGTCGGCGTTCTCCCTTAATTTGCTGTAATTTGTGTCACGAAAAAGATGTGGCCGCCTGTCTGATACAAGCGACAGCGTCAATTAACGCATATAGAGTATGCGCGACAATTTGACCCTTTCCATCCGTCCCTATTAAATACTACGAAAGCAGAAATAAAGAAATGAACTGCTATAGAAGCAGATGGAGTTCCAGCCTTTCTATTTAGCAAGATATAACGGAAATAGCAGATGGGCAAGAATAACACACTAAATCAATTACTAATAGTAGGAAATCTAGTCCTAAAGAATATCTATATAATAAAAAAAAGTCCCCTTTATAGTTAAAAATAAAGTGATTTAATCCCTAGTCACTTAGGCCTACCTGCCTCCTTTGCTTTAACTTCTTTTCTTTTTAAGACCTTATTTTCCTTTTAATTAGAATTCTTCTTCTTCTTAATGCCCCTAACTAACCTTATTAATTTAATAGTTATAGGCCCGGTATACTCTTTCTAAGTATAGAAGAGTAAGATAGTCTTATAGAACTATTTAAAAACTTGATAAAAAATTTAATGCCCTTTCTATAATATATAATTCTCGCGAAGAGAGATACGAGTAGTATATATAAAATGCACTGAGGGGAAATTAATAGTAAGGGGTCGGATAGGCAGAGCAAAGTTGATTGAATGCTTCGAGTTCAATTATAGTAGCAAAGAGCTGATTGTTGCATAGTTCTATTCCTCTTCCTTCCCTCTATTTAACGCCCCCTTTTATATCCCTCTAGCATTTACATTGATAAGGGAAACTCCTTATAGACTAGATCTCGATGTCTGCCAGATGACCGGCCCTTTTTACCCCTCTTTTCCAGCCGTTGCCGACAGTCCCGTCTTATGTCTCGCCACCTCCATAGGAAGCTATCGCCACTTCTGCTTCCCCTCTTTCCCCTACACCTTCCTTCTCAACTTCTTATACCGCTTTTCGGCTTCCTCTAGAGCCCCTCTTGCCAAGGGATATCTCCGAGACCTGCGAAATCCAGCCACGCTTCGCGACAGCATCAGGCATACATATCAGTATAAATTCCTTTCTCATCGGGTTGGAGCTGCAGGACCATGGATGCATTCCAACATGTACACGCAGCTAACTTGACTTTAGGAGCCTTCATGCGGCCTCGTAAGATGAGACCCGTTGGTAGAGGCTGGGTCTCCGAAAAGCACGGAGCCATACTCTCGCCTTGTAAGCTGATCGGAGGGTAATGGCAAGAACAGAGAAGCCGACACCCGCCGTAACACCCGTAACGAAGGTCCACATCTTGTCAGCCTTAGGACCTGCTTGCTTCGGCTGCTGGATGCTGTATGTCTGAAAAGCGGGTTAGCCACGAGTATAGCATCCAGAGGGTTGAGGCAAAGGACTTACCACCTCGGCCTGGCTGGCATTCTGTCACGGGCTGTGCCCGGCTGGTGGACCCGGTTGTACCGGGTCCGGTGGGTCGTGCTCCGGTGGCAACACCGGCCCCGCTCCGCGGACCCAGAAGCTGCGAGAACATTCCGAGAAGGGCAATATAAGCTCGCACTCGAGGCTACGCCTCGAGTTCAGCTTTTCCTCCTTAGCTCTAGATAGACAACACCTAGGCACCTGCTTGTTGAATAAACTCCGGGCCAGCCTTTCACATATCTAGAGCTCCTTCTAAATACCGCAAGCTGCAGACTGCTCGTCAGGATGGACCAGCAGAGTGAGAGCCCAAGTCTCCAGCAGCAATGGATTGACCAACGCATTCAAGAAGCGGTCAATGCGACTCTCAGCCCTCTACAGGACCAACTTTCCTTGCTGATGGAGCAACTCGGGCGAGCGCAGCCGCAGAGCGCCGACTTGCAATCGCCGCCAGTGGCACGAGGATTGCGAGAGCACGCCTGGCTTGGGCACGCCCTCCCAAAACCTGCGGTACTGGAATGCGGAAACCGTTGCCCAACCCACCCAAGTATGACGGCTCACGGAAGAGCTACTCCTCCTGGGCCAGGCAGATGCGAGACAAGCTGGACCTTGATGCACACTACTACAGTGGAAATCGCGAACTTTGGTACCTCATCAACTCATGTTTGGACGAGCGACCACAGCAAGTGGTCGCTACCTTTACGCCGCGGAGGCCCTGGGGTAGCTACGACCCCAAGAGTTCATGCGATACCTCGACCGAACCTACCAGGACAGCAACATCCAATCCTGCGCTGCTGCCACGCTGAGAACTATGCGGCAGCGCGAAGACCAACCTCTCGCGTCCTTCCTTCCCGATTCGAACAGGCATTAGCTGAAGCCGGGGAGCAGACTGGCCGGACAGTGCAAAGATCGTATTTCTAGAGAACGCAATAAATGCACGCCTCCAAGAGAGTTTGGTCACAGCCGTCCTACCCGACGACTACCAGGGATGGCTTGCGAGAGTTCAGGAAATTGCGGGCAGATTGAGAGACTGAAACCCGGTAGGCAGCCGACGTCGACTGAGCGGACGCCTCACCAGCTACCAAGGCAACGACCCAGGAGGAACCGGAGGACCCCGACGGAGATGTTAAGATGACGGACATCAACCGTATTGGCCACGAGTCGAAGGGTCGTCGACATGTCGATAAGAAGCCGAAGGATGAGCGCCGCTGCTATCGCTGTGGTCGGACGGATCATCTTATCGTGGACTGCCCAGCCCAGGTGGTCTTTCCTGGCGAAGGGAAGCAACAGCGACCTAAAGCTGCGCGCATGAAGAAGCCCGATGCCGCAGATGATTCGGAATCAACCGCAGCATCCAGTGAGGACGAGTCGGCGGGAAAAGACTAGCCCGGGGCGAAAGCGGGCGCCGGGCCTGCAAAGGCAGACATCCGGGACTGGAAGCGTTCAAGCCACGAATGAATAGTCGGACTGTATTAGTCAACGCGCGGGTAAACCGAGGCTATCGAATACGCGCCCTTGTCGACTGTGGATGTGACTGCTATGCCGTGATCGACGAAGCCCTTGTTCGGAAGCTGCGGATACCCTTCGTCGACTCGAAACCACGAGAAATTGGGGGATTCTCAGAGTCAGCGAAGAGTGTCATATCCCCAGGGTCGTGGCTGTTGTGGTCGAGACAGCTGGATTTGACGAACGTGTCTTTGATACGTGATCCCAAGCCTGGGCCAGGACATGTTCCTCGGCCGGCCTTGGATGGAGAGAAATCACGTCGTGTACGATGCTGCCAAGCAGCGAATGTACCATGGGAGGGCAGGTGTGACGATACGCCTCATTGGGCAGGAAGAGCCCGCCAAGATACGCGCGATTCGAAGCGCAAGACTGTGTCGGCAGCCGTATTCACGGCGGAGTGTCGACGCGCAAAGAGACGCAAGAAGTGCAACGCGATCTCGATTCATGCAATCAGTTTGTCGGATATAGAGGGCGCTTCAGCCGAAGCCGCCAGTCGATCCGAGCGAGAAGGTCCCGGCAGAAGTGCTGAAAGAATTCCGCGACCTATTCTCACCAGAAGAGGCAATGAAGCTGCCGCCACATCGACCGGGTGTGGATCATGAAGTCAACCTGCAGCCTGACAAGAACGGCAACGAGCCACCCCTTCCGTGGGGCCCACTCTACAACATGTCACGAGAAGAGCTGTTGGTCTTGCGAAAGACCCTGAAAGACCTGCTGGACAGAGGATTCATCCGAGCGAGTAGCTCAGCGGCTGCCGCGCCGGTGCTGTTCGTGCGGAAGCCGAATGGAGGGCTGCGATTTTGTTGCGACTACCGAGCGCTGAATGCAATCACCAAGCGCGACCGATACCCACTGCCCTCATCGCGGAGACCCTGCAGAATCTGGCCAAGGCTAAGTGGTTCACCAAGTTGGACGTGGTGGCCGCTTTCCATAAGATCCGCATGGCTCCGGACATGAGGGAAAGACTGCATTTCGCACGAGGTTTGGGCTCTACGAGTGGCTCGTGTGCCCTTTCGGCCTGAGCGGCGCCCCGGCATCATTCCAACGATACATGAACAGTGTATTGCGCGAATGGCTGGACGACTTTGTCACAGCGTACCTGGATGATGTACTGATCTACTCGAGCGGTTCGAAGGCGGATCATGAGGCTAAGGTGCGACGAGTTCTCCAAGCACTCGCCGACGCTGGGCTGCACCTAGACCCAGCGAAGTGCGAGTTTCGGTACAAGAGGTCAAATACCTTGGGTTCATCGTCAACGCAGGGAAAGGAATCGCCTGCGACCCCGAAAAGCAGCGCGCCATCCGCGAATGGGAGGCCCCGACCACGGTGAAGGGTGTCAGAAGCTTTCTGGGCTTCGCCAACTATTACCGGATCTTCATCCCCGACTATGCCAAGATCACGCAGTCTCTGGATGCCCTGCTTAAGAAAGGAACTGCCTTTCATTGGGGACGAGCGGAGAACGAGGCGTTTCAGGAGCTGAAGCGACGATTTTGCGAGTCACCGGTGCTCAACAGTGGGACCCGAGCCTCCCGACCTTTTGGAGACGGATTGCTCAGGCTACGCATTGGGAGGCGTCCTGTCGCAGGAAGGCCCAGATGGACGTCGACACGCATGCGCCTTCTTCTCGAAGCGACTTTCGCCAGCGGAGTACAACTATCCCATTCACGACAAGGAGATGCTTGCCATCATGAGATGTCTCGACAACTGGAACGCCGAACTTAGGAGCTGCGGCCCATTTACAATCCTTACCGATCACCGCAACCTGAGTATTTCATGACACGCCAGAAGCTCACGGAACGGCAGAGCCGTTGGGCAGCCGAATTGTCCCAGTTCGACTTCAAGCTCGAGTATCGACCGGGAAGCGAGGCTGTCGTGCCTGATGCGTTGTCCCGCCGTGAACAAGACAAGCCACAGGGCATTGACGACGAGCGGGAACAAGGAAGAATGATACAGTTGATACCGGATAGTGCCATTCCATCATCGACAAGAGCATGTATCAACGCGATGAGTTCTGACTGTTCAGAGGCATCCACCCTGCCGAAGATGAAGGTCTTCGAGGTAGCGGACCTGCAGCAACTCTGGGACGAAACGGTGGCGAAGGACTCGATATTCCGGGCAGCCTATAAGGCAGTCCGCGATCGCGAGCGTGCCTTCCCGCCCTCGCTGGGCCTGAAGATCCAGATTTCAGAATGTGCGATCGACGCAGGCAAAAGGCTGACATTCAGAGACCGTATTTGGGTGCCGGGTGGATCCGGAGAGGAGGGTAACCAGGAGGAAGCTGAGAAAGACCAGTTGAGAACCCGCATTGTGCAGCAGTCGCATGACTCTGTTGCGACCGGTCATCCCGGCAGGAAGGTACGCTGGCTATTGTGGCTCGGCGATTCTACTGGCCTGGGCAGTCCCAGCTGGTTCGCCGGTACGTAGCCAATTGCGACACCTGCGGCAGAGCACACATCTGGCGCCAGTCGGAAAGGGGGATTCTCAAGCCTCTGCCGATTCCAGATCGACCCCGAAGCCATTTGTCCATGGACTTCATCACAGATCTGCCGCCTACTGGACTGAGCAAGGCAAGGTACCTGTGGGTGATTGTGGACAGACTGACAAAGGCTGTGACCCTCGAGGTGATGGACAACATGGAAGCTGAGCCGTGTGCAAACCGTTTTCTCCAGTGTCATTACCGATTTCACGGAATGCCACGGTCCATCGTCAGCGACCGCGGGAGCAACTGGCTAAGTAGGTTCTGGAAGAGGTTCTGCCGTCTTGCAGGTGTCACGCAGAAATTGAGCACGGCCTATCATCCTCAGACGGACGGAGGGCCAGAGAGAATGAACCAGGAGATCGAGGCGTACTTGAGAGCCTACGTATCCTACGTACAGGACGATTGGGGTGACCTTCTCCCCGCCGCGCAACTGGCACTCAACAACCGTGAATCCGCAGCGACCAAGATCAGCCCCTTTTCGCTGAGCATGGTTACCACGTCGATCCCATCAGCGTCGAGGAATCGGAAGAGCCACCGAGGCATAGAGAGGAAAGCAGAGCTGATAGCCTACCAGTCGCCTGCAGGAGGTCAATGAGTACATGCAAGCAGTGATGGCCTCCTCACAGCAACAACAAGAAGAGGCTGCCAACGCAAAGCGACAGCCTGCGGAGCGATTTGAAGTTGGTGACAAGGTGTGGCTCTCGATGGCAAACTACAGATCGCCACGACCGTGCAAGAAGCTCGACTGGCTGCATCACAAGTACACAGTCACGAAGGTAATTAGTTCGCACGTTGTTGAGCTCGATGTTCGTGGCTCAATTTACCCGCGATTTCATGTTGACCTTTGCGGCGGGCGCATCAAGATCCGGCTCCTGGCCAAAGGTAGATGACGCACAGCCACCACCGGTACAAGATGAGTCCGGCACGGATCTGTGGGATGTCGACGAGATCCTCTGCGCGAGATGGAAGAAGCGCGGACGAGGGGAATTCAGGCAAGCACTAGTGCGATGGACGGGCTACGCAGAGCCGACTTGGGAGCCAGTTGAGTGGTTGCAGGAACAATTGCGATGAAGGCATTCGAGGACAAGTACGGGCCAATCAAGACCAATGATGGCCCTAGGAGAGGTACGAGACGCTGGCAGGAACGCAAGAACCCCGCAGACGCCGACCTGGTCGGAGGGGACAAGGGGGTAATGTCACGGGCTGTGCCCGGCTGGTGGACCCGGTTGTACCGGGTCCGGTGGTCGTGCTCGGTGGCAACACCGGCCGCCCGCGGACCCAGAAGCTGCGAGAACATTCCGAGAAGGGCAATATAAGCTCGCACTCGAGGCTACGCCTCGAGTTCAGCTTCTTTTCCTCCTTAGCTCTAGATAGACAACACCTAGGCACCTGCTTGTTGAATAAACTCCGGGCCAGCCTTTCACACATTCACTGGCATGCTCGTCCCCAAGGCATTGCCCTTGTGGTCGAGGCCAACAGCCCTCAGGTGTCTCGGGTGGTCCGCTCCGAGGAGAAAGTCCGTCTCGAACCCGTCCCTGAGCTTTGTGCCGACCACCCTCCACTCGCTGCCTGAGAGGTCTGAATCGGTACCCTGAAGCACCCACTCCGTCACCTCGGTCGCTCCGTTCCAGCTGACGTACGCCCTCCATATCATGGCGTCGTCCTGCACGACTGCCAGGTCTGGATTGGTTGTGGGATACCCTTTCCAGTCGTACTTGAGGACGCGATAGGACTGGACCTCGCCACTGTTGAATCGATACTCTGGGCCGAAATGTGTGTCGCAGAGCACCTTTCCATGGCGTGAGAACTCGGTGAAGGCAGCGGAGCGCCCGAAGCTTAACAGGACGTTTCCACCGGGAAGGTTCTGCATGGATCCCTGCGTTGCCGAGCGAATATGATGCGGGCTCTCGTATTCGGTAACAAGCTTGGCCGTCATGGCCGTTTGGTCTACTGCGATGCGCATTCCGCGGGCCTCGGAGTCGTTGGCGCCGTTGTTGAAGAGGGTTATCTCGCTGTAGTCGCTGTCCCAGCGAGCATCGTGCTGCATGGCAAAGCCGGTCGCCCTGCCCGCTGAGAGATCGCTAAACATATTGTTTTTACCACCGAGGACCCAGACGACATTCCCCGTCCGGCCTTGGACGTACGCAAGGGCATGCAGGAACCGACACGACACTAGATAATTGCCCTTGGCATCCTTGTCAACGCTGTTGATGTGGAGCCAGTCAAAGGGGGCGCCTCCAGGGTCGCCTGTGTCGCCGATGGCCGTGTACGTGTCGGAGATGCTGATGTGATCGCTTGCCCGCCATTCGAACAAAAGGTCGCCCGTCCTGATATCGACCTCTTGGAGAAGGCAGTCCCAAATGGGGCCAATGGTCTTGCCCAAGGAGCTAAGATCGTGGTCCTTGATGTCATAAGCCGTCAAGAGGACGGTGCCACGGTCCGTGAAACGGAATTCGTGGAGGTCGCCCTGGAGCCCATGGGCGGCTTCAAACTTGGCAGTCAGGTTATACGTCTCGTCGAGCTGGTTCAGCAAATCAGCTCTCCCTCAACACTGACATGGCAGAGGCGAGCTTGCCACATAGTAGGCGCCGGCCCCTCGTCCTCCCGCTGGCTTTGGGCCTGCCCAAAAGGTGAGGTAGTTGTGGTCCTCGTACTTTTGGACCATGAGGTTATAGATGTACATGTCATCCCAGCCCGAGGTCCAGACGAGGTGGCCGTGGGCGTCCATAATGGTCGCCTGGAGGCTGGGCGGCGCGCGGACAAGAGCGCGAGGGGCAAAGACTATCTTTGAGCTTCTGGCGCAGCTGCTGTCCTGGCGAAGCAGGTTCGGGCGTGGGGCGATGGCCTTTGACGACTTGAATGTCTGGATTGGATAGTTGCCAAAGTTCCCAAGGTCGTATCCGCTGCTGGCCACGAAGACAGGGAGCTCGGCGAGGGCAAATCCGGCGTCGAGGAAGAGGACAAGGTGCAGCACCATGGCACAAGAGCAAGCAGAGGATAGCAAAGGCCGCATTTTCTTGAAGGGCGGCAGCCCAGGACCATGCAAGGGCATGTGTGCTGGATGACCCAGAGCCCGTAAACCCGCCGTCGGTTCATGTTTTCAAGCAATTCCTACCGGTGTGGCCCGGGTCCTGGTCCTGGTACAGCAAGTGCCCAGACTACATTTTGCTCAGGCAGTTTCAAGTTACATGTATCAGGAGGGCATAAACCGGAAACCCGCTCTTGGCTCTGCCCACCTGCGTCGGCGTTGTTGTTACGTACAACCTCCACCTTTGCCTGAATGACTCGAACCACTTTCTTCGTCAACAACTCCCTGATTTGCAGCACTCTAGGGGATCCGAAAAGCCGGTGTATTCTGCCTAGCCCTCTGCAGTCGGTCATGTGCATCGGCAATCTCACAACGACTGCTTGCTTATAGTTCTCTACGCAACGTCTTTACCAATAGCTCGCAAGAGAATCTATCTTTTCTCAGCAAGCACAACTCTGCCCCGTTTCCAGGCGAGTCGTTGACACGGAAAATGCCACGCGACGGAGCTCAAGCCGGCGAGCCGAGCTGGATGTCGCTGCCTCGAAAAGATCAGCTCGTTATTCTCTTCCTCTGCCGCCTCGTCGACTTCTTGCAGGTAGCCTCGTTACAGGCCTATGTCTTCCATCAAGTAAAATCCTTTAACGAGTCCGTGTCCGACGTTCGCGCCTCCCAGCAGGTCGGCCTGTTGCAGGGATGCTTCGCAGGCGCCCAGGTCATAACGGCCGTCTTATGGGGCCGTGCAGCGGATGCGAGCTGGTGCGGCCGCAAGCGCGTGCTCGTCATCGGCTTGGGCGGCACGGCTCTGTCCTGCTTGGGCTACGCCTTTGCGACGACGCTGCTGTGGGCTGCTTGTTGGAGGGCGTTTGGAGGCGCCACCAACGGCACTGTTGGCATCATGTAAGTCATGGGTGAGTGAGCACGTAGAGAAAGCGACGAGACATGAGGCGTTCCGCTAAGAGAAGCTCTTTGCAGTCGAACAATGATTGGGGAGATTACAAAAGATTCAAAACATCAATCTCGAGCTTTTCTGATTCTACCTATGAGCTTCAACATCGCCGGCATCTTCGGTCCAGGTATGATCCCTTGAGACGCCTTCGCCGAATCAAGACCTGGATCACTGACCGAGTCCACGACTGATAGTGATGGGGGGTCTACTGGCGGACTCGGTCAAAACCATGCCGGGACTCTTTGGGGAATATGCCCTCTTGGACTGTCAGTGGATTCGTGATTACCCATACGCCCTGCCGAGCCTCATCAATTGCATTTTCCTAACAGTTGTTACCGTTATTGTGTTCCTTTTTGTGGAAGAGGTGAGATTGCAAGCGGTGCTTGCTAACGGGCTGAAATTAAACTGACCTGATGACAACTAGACGTCCAACGCAAGAAGGGGTGAATTCGACTACGGACTACAAATAGGGAAGCGTATCAAACAAGCCGTCTTGCCCGCGACTAAATCGCAGGACGGATATTCTTACATTCCTGTTCAGGAGGACGATCATGGCATGGAGAATCTGGAACAACAAGCGGCAACAGCTGCAGAGATGCCCTCGCCAAGTCGCCACCCGCCCTTTCTGAAACTCTGGACAACCAACGTATTGTTTACTCTTCTCACTATCGCTCTGTACGACTGCCACCTCGGTGCCTTTGCCAACATTTGGCCCCTTGCTCTCTCGACACCCCGATACTTGCCCTTTAGACCCGAGGATCAGGGACGCGACCCCGCAAATTCCTCAACAGGTGGTCTCGGGATGCCAGCGTCGACAGTGGGGCTTGCCACCTCTCTTCTAGGAATCTTTGGCCTATTGCTCCAAGTTACCCTCTACCCTCCTGTTCAAGCATGGCTTGGCACCATGCCATCATTTCGATACTTCCTTGTCTTGTTTCCCGTGGCCTACTTGGCCGGCTCATTTCTGCCCACCTTGCCGTCTTCCAAGGCCCCGCCCGAGCCCGCGGCCGGAGTTTTGGTTTGGATCGGCATTGTCCTGGTGCTCGTGCTGCATGTCATCGCAAGGACATTTACATTGCCAGCAAGCATCGTGTTGCTCAACAATTGTAGCCCTCACCCGAGCGTGTTGGGCACCGTCCACGGGCTGGGACAAAGCGTTTCGGCGGGCTTCCGCACCGTCGGGCCTGTAGTCGGGGGATATCTATATGGATACGGGCTTGAGATTGGTTTCGCCGCCTGTGGTTGGTGGATAGTGGCCGCTGTGTCGATGCTGACGTGCTTTACAGCGATGTGCATGCATGAGGGAGGTTGACGTCGTGATGGTAACTGAAAGATGCTTATCACGAGCCGGACAATGGCTGGATGCCTGTTAAACTTCCTTGACAGAAAGCAGTTCGGCTTCTATACTGATATTGAAGGTCGAGTCCAGGCTCGTCCGTGTCCACGATACTGCGAATGGGCCGAGACTTTCTGTTAATAGGTAGAGACTAGTTGTCTCCAAACGGTTCATTGGTCGCGTCGTCTGTCAGCTTCAACATGCGTTGGTACAGGGGCAGACTGTATTCGCCGCTCGTAACAGAAGCTCACGTCGAGATGGACCCGAATCTTGTTCTATCATGTTTCCGTGCACGATGAGGCGGGAGAGCCCCAACTAGTCTGCTTTATGTGGGAGCCTTGTACAAAATCGCATGAAAAGCTTCACGTGCGGTTGTGTGTTTGGAACGACATGTTTGTTGGTTGTTTTTCCGGACAGGCAGGTAGTTGCATGAGTTATCCAGGGTCGGGACCTTGGCCGGTGATTTGAGGGAGAGCCTAGTAAGCTGGCGGAAGGCGTCGTTTAAATGACTCGAAGCAAGAGCTGTCACGAAGTAGGCATGTCTAAGAATATAGCTGATGGCCTTGGGCTGTGTGGGACAACGGCCAGATCGTCGTCGCCGCATAGAAGCTGATTAGCTGCAAGAGTATACACCAGCATCTTACCAACAGAGCGACCAGATGGTCAGAAGTGGGAACCACGATAAGAAAGGAAAAGAGGGTCTCGGACGAGTTCGTCAGGAGGAAGGGGGAAAGATCAAGCAACAGCACTAATACAACATATGACACACAATTGTACTGATGTGCTTTTTCCCCGTCTGTGTTTGAGAGAACTCTCAGGCTCTTTATTTCAAACAGCGAGGCTTGGGGCATCGCGCTTCTACTAAAGCTAGTATACAATCGAGAGGCGGGACATGACCAAGATAGCCATAGTAGCCATAACCAGCCATAAAAAGTAGCGCAAAGCGACATTATACATCTGGTTGCGGTTGCGACGTTGTGAACGCGTTAGAAAGTCCGAGCTATCGTTAACATGGGGGAACGGGCAGAACTCTGGGACGGGGTGGCCCAAAAACTTGCACAGAGGCTCCCAACCTTGTGCGACATCGTACTCGAGCAGGTGGTCTCGAACTACCAGGCCGCGGACCTCATCGTAGTGGCGCTGGAAGATTTCCTTGCCCCGGCTAGGAAAATCGCCCTCGAAGAAGGTGTCGAAGAACTTCTTGAGCATGGGATAGTACATGCTCGCCGCCCAGTCGAAGTGGGAGAGCCAGCGCAACTCTGGGTCGGTCACGCGCCAGTAGACTGTCTTCATGGTGGAAGCATGCCACGAATCGACGTTGCGATTGGTGAGGATGACTTTGGCCTCGGGGTAGGCCTCAATGAGCTCCTTTGCAAAGGCGATGCTCGGCCAGTCACAAACGGCCTGAGCGTGGCCGAGAAGTCGATCCCACTCCTTGGGACCAAAGGGCTTTCCCTGGCCGTCGTACTTGGCGCGCAAGGCCTCCATCCACATAAGGGCATCCGGAGGGTTCTCGATAGAGCAGCTCATCATGTGGTAAGTATCGTGATAGCCGAGTTGCTTCATCGCGATGCGCATGGCTGAGGCGTCACTTTGTTAGCCCAGAGACATAGCTTCGGGGCCTCGCCCGAGACGGCGGCAAAGGTTGACAAACAGGCGGTGCCTGTGCGGCCCATGCCCAGGATCAAGACTCTCATGGGCACATTGCGGCTGCACGTGCGGCGGTTTATGTCAGATTCACTGGTAAAGATATCGGTCAAGGGCTTGCGCCTGTATAAGGGGCAGGGCATGATTGCTGCGACGATCCCCGGCCTGGTTCTACACAAAATCAAGCTGCAGCGACGACATTGGCTCTGACAGCTAATCGACGTGAAATCAATATCAGAGAGACGGCACCGAGATTTGATGGTTCGTCTAGATGAGAGTGCAAGGGACAGTACGGGACAGATACGACGTTTCAAAGGCTCGAGGAGGGCGCTGCAGTAATCAAGAGGATGATCCCTTTTGGCAGGAAAAGTGTCAATGCGAGGGCGCGAATGCAGCAAGTCCCCGGGCTATATCGACGCATGGCTTGGACGGACACGAAAGGGGGGCACGTGTATAGGCGAAGCCCTCCTAGAACAGGAGGGCTGACAATGCAGCTATGCTGATAGTCAATGCCTGTTGACGTTGGGTAATAGGCCCAGCCCCAGTGGATATGCTGGTACGTAACAATCCTTTGCGTATAGATGGCTGGTCCGTCTCCAAGGATCTAATATCTTCTGTCAAGTGACTGGAGCGCGTCTTATGCAGGACGTTCATGTAATGGCATAGACCGCCAAGGCTGAATTGTTAATTAGGGCGACAACGTAATGGGTTAGATTCGCACATGGAAATATTAGTCGGGGTCATCTATGCCCTAGATGTTGGCTGAATCTGGTTCATTTGTATCCACTGTATGGCGCAATAATCCGGAGTCAAGGTGTCGTGCACCCCACTTAGGAAATGACTTGACCAGACTACAAGTTCTTAAGTAATAATTATCCAACCTATAGTTAGACCATCATTAATATATAAAGCTCCGCATTCCTTTACAAAGTTGAATTCGACCGCTTGCAATCTCAAGTCTTGTATACTTTATTCGCCATTAACAAATTTATCTTCATCTCTACTATAAACGACACAATGAAGTGCACCACTGTCCTCCTTGCGGCCATTGCTAGCCTGACCGTTGCCGCTCCCCGCCGCGAACGGCCGCGGAACTTTATGTTCCCTGACGATGAGAGCCTTGGGCCTTTTCGAGAGGAGGACCCCTTGTCCCCCGAAGAATACATTGATACTCTTCGAGGAAAAGAGATAGTTCCCGCGGACCCTGTTCCTCCAAACGCGGGCGGGCAAAAGGAGACCCCTTGCAAAACAGGCGGGCAAAAGGGGGCCTCTTGCAAAACAGGCGAGCAAAAGGAGGCCCCCGGCAAAACACCTAACGGGAGTCTGTTTTCTAAAACTTCCCCGAAGCCGGACGAAAACGAGCAGTCATACGACGACATTGAGCCTGCGCCGTTAGATTTTACTCCCGTTTATAGTCCTTCGTCATTAAATCGGAAGGTTCCTAAAGTTGATGGTTCTGAGAATAGCAATCAGAATCAGACCGAAACTACCTAGCATAGCCCTCCGACTATTCGGCATAGAAAAAGGTAGGGTTATATAGCTGGTTAAGGCGCAGCGCCGATACTATAGATTTATATGCTATTACTAGTTATTAGGTCTTTATATTAAGAAAGAGGGTATAGATCGCGCTCTCCTACCTAAAAGAGGGAGTCCGCGGGTAAAACTATAGAGTATTGCTATTTATATAATAGTATATTACTATTTATATACTCGACCTATTTTTAAGATACTCTTAAGTAGGGGCTTAAGAGTATAGTAAAAGAAATAGGGGCATAGAAAGGTAAATTAAGTAATATATATCTTAGTCTATCTATTAAGATAAGAGAGGGGCTTATATAGGTATAGTAACTATATATAGCTAGCTAAAAGAGGGCATTAAGATATTCCTATACCTAAGTTAGGCCTATATAATATCCTTAGTCTAAGAGAGTTATATTAGTTAAGCAAGCTCCCTTATATATAACTATTAGGTCTACTAAATATAACTATAGCCTCTTATACCCCCTCTCCTTAATATACCCCCTTATTACCCTAGCTTTTTAAATAGTAAGGCAATAGGTAGTCTTATAAAGAGAGATATAAGAAGTATATAAAAATATATAAAGGTAAAATTAAAAGTAAGGGGTCGGATAGGCAGGGCAAAGATATTTAATTCTTATAGGGGCAGTAATTATAGAAAGGGAGTAATTATTATCTTGCCTTAATTATCCTTATTTCCTCTATTTAACGCCCCTCTTTATACCCGTTTAGTATCTTTATTAATAAAGAAGATCCTACTTAAAGAAGCTATTAATATCCTCTTAACTACCGAGCTTTTTTCTAGGTTTTCCCCTCTTTTCTAGCCGTTGCCGGTATATCCGTCTTATCTCTCGCTACCTTTATAAGAAGCTATCGCTACTTCTACTTCCCTTTATACCCCTACCCTCCTCTCTATACCTTCTTTTAGCTCCTTCTTTAAAACCGGTTTTTTAGCTTCCTAGGTCCCTCTTACTAAGGGATATCTCTAAGAATATAAATTAGGCTACGCTTCGCGATATGCCCCCTTAGCTATAGCCTGCCCCTTAAGGGTAAAGCTAAATAATTAGGCCGGTAAGCGTATAGAGGAGGTCTTAGTCTATACTTATCCCTTACTTAAGAAATCTAGGATTTTACCCTAGGCTCTTTTAGACCTACTTTAGGAAAAGGGGCCTAAGGAGGAATCGAGTCCTATAAGAAAGGGGGTCTTCTCTAAGGATAAGTCCTTAAAAGGGGCCTAAGGAGGAATCGAGTCGTATAAAAAAGGGGGTATTTTCTAAGGATAAGTCCTTAAAAAGGGGGCCTTTAAAAAGAATAAGTCCTAATTAAGCTAAGGGCCCTCCTTTAAGATAAGTCTTAGTTCCTCTCTTTAGCTATAGATATCTCCTTCCTTTTTTTTTATATTATTACTCGTATATAGCCTCTAAGGCTATAGCGAGGCTAGTAAGGGCCTAGGCCCCTATTAGTAGTCCTAGCTAGCTATAGAGCCTAGGGGCTTATAACTAATTAAGGAAGGGGTAGCTATAAAGGCAATAATAAAGGAAAGGTTAGTTTAGTTCCTCTTACGTAGTGTTTTCCCCCCTTAAGGGCCCTAGGGCCCCTAGGTTACTCCTTTTCTAGCTACTTAGCTATCCCTATCTCTATTTTAGCTAAGAAGATTAGAAGGGCTTCCCTTCCTTCCTTAAAGTTATAGAGAATAGATAGGCTTAGGACCCCCTTCCGTCTCTTAAAGGTCTAGTAAAGGACCTCTCTTTCCCTCCTATAGTTCGGGCACCTTAGGATAAGGTGCTTAGCCGTATACCTTCCTTAGCTATAGCGGTAGTCGTTTCGGTCTACCTTATTAGTCCTTTTTAAGAAGGAAAATAGGAAGCTAGCCTTAAAGAGGAGCTAGTAAAAGGCCGAGAGGGTTAGCCTAGGCCTCCTTATAAGGTCCTTTTCCTAGCTAAGGGCTAGGCGGGGGGTCTTTTAAATAAATATATAGTGCTTACCTAGGCCCTTAGCCCTAGGGCCTTTAGCTGCCTCGATAGCCTAAAGTCCTATAGTCCTTAGTAGCTTACCGGACCTTTCTTTATAAGTAGCTAATAGAGACTAAGGGGATCCCTTAGGTAGGAGCCCCTAAGCCTTTTTTAGCTAGCTAGTCGGCTAGCTCGTTACTAAAGATCCCTAGGTAGCTAGGGCACTAGTATAGCTATATATTATAAAAGGATTCTAAGCTAAATAGGAGCCTTTTAATATATATAGCTAGGTCTAAGAAACTTATAACCTTCCTTATAGCGGCTTAGCTATCTATAAAGATATAGGTATCTATAAGGGGGTTAAGGGGGCTAAGCCTTAAGGGCCGAGGCCTCTTAGCTAGGTCCTTTAGGACCCTTAGTATCGCGAATAGCTCTATATTAGCTACTTCGATCGAGGGCCCTAGGTTCTCGTAGTACGCCTTAATAAGCCTATTTTCTAGGCCTATTTTATAGAAGGAGTAAGCGTTAGTCTCTGTAAGGGACCCCTTAAAGCACCCCTTAAAGCCGTCGGTATAAAAGGCTAGGGGCTATAACTTAAAGTCTTCTAAGCTAGCTAAGCTAGCTAAGAGGCGTTAGTACTACTTCTTAGCTAACGGCTAAAGGGCCTCTATTATTATAATAAAAGCGTTAGGCTCTAGGGCCTATAAGGGCTCCTAGCTAGCTTTCCTTCTTTCTAAGTTATAATTAAGTCTTATAAGAGCTACTAGGCCTTTAAGGAGGCGGAAGAGCTATATATATAGCTTAATATAGCTTAAGGCCCTTAGGTCGGAGCCTAAGTTAGCGAGGTTATCCTATATAGCTAGGTCGTAAGCCTACCTTATAAGGTAATTTAATAGTAGCTGCGGCATACACCTAAAGACATACCTACGCTAACGGCAATAGCAGTAGCTAGATACCGAAGGACGAGGGGGTCTAAGGGGAACGAAGGAAAAGAGAAAGCACTAAGCAGGGCAAGGCAAAGGCAAAGAGGGCTAAAAAGGTATATTAGTAGAGGAGGATATAGAAGAAGATAATAATATAAGATAGTAATAAAAGAAGGAGATGCTATCTACTAGCTAAGGAGGAAAAAAGACCTCTTTTATAGACCGAATTTTCCCTCCTTCTTCTCTAGACGAACAGGGGCCAAGGGATCATCTAATTAAGAAGAGGGCTAGCTAGAGACTCTGCTAAGGATCCTGCCAAGGACCCTGCCAAAGACTCTGCTGCGCGGGCTGTGTGTGTTCCTTGGGGTACAGATGCCCCCGTTAAACTCCTCCACAACAAAGAACAGACGCCCTCGTCTGCCAGGTAAGCAAGCAGGCAGGTGTAACGGTCTCAACTGAGTGTGTTGACAACTAGCTGAGCGACTGCGACGAGTATCCTAAAGCTAAGGAGAAAAGAAGAAGAAAAGAAAAGAAAGGAAAGCTCTCGAAGATGGCACGAGCTTATAAGCGGAGCTCGGTGGGTCTTGTCGAGAGCGGAGCCGAGACCCTCACGGGCTCAGCCCGTTACAATAACCCCCTCCTTCCCCTCCCCCGTTTCGATCGTTTCGATTGGGGTGGTTTCGATCCAACTTTCCCATGAACTTCTTCATACCTAGCCAGTGCTATTGTGTCTGCGACGTACTTGACTGGCTCCACGTCGGACCTATCCATCCGACCCATTTCACCAACACTTTCCACTCTCTCCGACTTTCTTCCTGTCCAGAATCTCTTCCACTTCCCACAGCTCGCCATCGTCCGTCAAAATGGCCGGTGGGCGGTAGTCATCCGACGTCTGTGACGGTAGCGGATCGTCCGCTGCTAAGCGTAAGAGCGACACGTGGAACACGTTGTGTATTCCCGGAGGCGTGTCCAGCCTGCACGCGTGTGACCCAATGGTCTCCAGGACGGTGTACTTGGCCGACAGCCAATCGAGCTTCTTGGATGGCCGATTGGATCGGATGTTGCGAAGTCGCAGCCATACCTTGTCTCCAGGCTTGAACTGGTCTGACGGCTGTCTTCGCGAATTGGCGTTCTTCTCTTGCTGCTCTTGCGCTGACGCAATTGCCGCCTGGGCCCATTCCGTTGCCTCTCGAAATCGTTGCACAATGCTTTCAGCCCTGGTCACTGGGGACCTTCCGTCCGTCCGTAACTTCTCCTTGACTTGTATCGGGTCAACATGATACCCATGCGTGATAAAGAACGGGCTCAGGCCTGTCGACGTCGAGTTGTGATTGTTGATGGCCATCATGGCCGCTGGCAACAGCTCTTCCCAGTTATCCTGAGCATAAGCAGCAAAGATCCTCAGATATCTCTCGACTTCCTGATTCGCCCTTTCTGTTGCACCGTCAGTCTCGGGATGCCACGCCGTAGACAATCTTTGCTTCACGCGTAGCAGCTCGCAGAGCCTCTGCCATAGTCTACTGGTGAATTGCGTGCCACGGTCAGTGACGATCGCGCGCGGCACGCCATGGTGTTGCACCACGTTCCGTAGCAATGCTCTGGCCGTCGTCTCGGCCGTGATGTCCTTCAATGACTCAAGAACGACACTTTTGGACAGTCTGTCCGTCACGACCATAAGGTTGGTCGAACCGTTCGACTTGGTTGGTGGCAGGTCTGTCACAAAGTCAATTGACAGCTCCGACCAGATCCTGTCTGGAATAGGTAGCGGCTTCAATAAACCGCGACGCTTCTCTCGCCAAATGTTGCTTCGGCCACACACATCACAATTTCTCACAAATTGACGCACGTCTGAATCGAGGCCTGGCCAATAAAACTTGCGGCTCAACAAGGACTTCAGCATGTCCCGTCCGGGGTGTCCTGCAAGCGTTGAGTCATGCGTCTCCTGCATAAGCCGCGTGCGCAGGGGTTCGTGGTTCGGCACCCAAATTCGCTCTCGCCAGCAGAGCCGCTGTCCATCGTCAATCGAGCATTCCGAGAGCATCACGGGCAGTCCCAATGCGACGGCAGACGCCTCGCCTTGCTGTACGGCCTTTCGGATGAGCCAATAACGATTGTGCTTCTTGACACCTTCGTCCCATAACTTCTGCAGTTCCGGGTCCGAGAAAGGGTTTTCGATTGAGTCGTCTTGGTCAGTTGTTGCGTCATCGGGTTGATCCGTGTCGCCCTTGGTGACATAACCGCTCTTGACTTTTGTCACCAGGCCACCCTTGTTACGTTGCAGCAGCTGAACACGTCGTCCTTGCAACCGATCATCTTCGGCGCTGTGCGGCATGTCCTGTTCTCGTCGAGACAGCGTGTCCGGTACGACGGCTTCTTTGCCCGGTCGATGCTTGATGGTGAAGCTGTACCGCGATAGCGTCTCAGCCCATCGCGCCTGACGTTCACTCAGTTGCTGCTTCTTGGTGAAGTAACGGAGGTTGAGATGATCCGTCAAAACGGTAAAGGACTTCACACTCCTCAATTCGGCGTCCCAATGCTCAAGGCGGCGAATGATCGCCAGCAGCTCTTTATCGTGGATTGGGTAGTTGCACTCCGCCGGTGCGTTTTTCTTTGAGAAGAAGGCCACAGGCCGCATGATGCCGTCATCGCCCTTTTGCGAGAGCGCCCCTCCTGTGACATAACCGGATGAATCCGTCTCCACAATCGTCTCTCTATCCGGATCCCATTGCGCAAGGACCGGCGCACTGGTCAGAAGAGCCTTCAACTCCTCGAAGGCCTTGTCGCACTCCTTCGACCACGCAAACACCGCATCCTTCTTTGTTAACGCCGTTAGAGGCGCGGCGATGTTGGAGAATCTGGGAATGAATTGCCGGTAATAGTTGGCAAACCCCAGAAAGCTTCTGACGCCTTTGACAGAACGGGGTCGCTGCCACTGCTGAATTGCCTGCACCTTCTCCGGGTCCACGCGGATACCTTTCCCGGCTTCGACGATGAAGCCCAGGTACTTGACACTCTTTGCCTCAAAGTCACACTTGTCGATATCAATCTGCAGGCCTGCATCTCGCAGTCGAGCAAGGACCTGCCTGACTTTGTTGCGATGATCTGCGAGCGAACCGCTCGAGTAGATCAAGATGTCGTCAATGTAAGCGGAACAGAACTCGTCGAGGAAATCTCGCAACGTGTGGTTTATGTAACGCTGAAACGTTGCGGGAGCACCCGTCAACCCGAATGGCGTGACAAGCCATTCGTAGAGTCCGTAACGTGTTCTGAATGCTGTCTTCCACTCGTCTCCCTCCTCGACGCGAATCTTGTGAAATGCTGCGATAACGTCAAGTTTGGTGAGCCACTTGGCCTTGGACAGCGACCGCAAAGTTTCCTCGATCAACGGCAAGGGATATCGGTCTTTCTTGGTGATCGCATTCAATCCTCGATAGTCCACGCAAAGCGCAGACCACCACCGGGCTTCCTCACGAACAAAACTGGTGCTGACGCTGGAGAACTACTTGCTCGAATGAAACCCTTGTCGAGTAGCTCAGTGAGAGTCTTTCGCAGAACAATGAGCTCTTCTCGTGACATGCCGTACAATGGTCCCCACGGCGGTTCTTTCTCCTTGTCATCAGGAACTCTCTCTAACTGAATCTTGTGATCACACCCCGGACGACGCGGTGGGAGTTGGTCCGCTTGGTCGCGGTCGAAGACGGATAGGTACTCGTGGTAGTGACGGGGCAGCTTCTCTCTCGGGTCTGACTTCTTCCTCGGAGTCAATGCCTTCTCAATGTCTTTCAGGCTTGCGGCGAAGATCCGCACTCCATCGTCTCGATGCTTGAACTTTCTTGCTCGGCGAACCATTCCGGCGAACACGAACGCCGCCTGTCCTCGTATGTTGCACCGTTCCTCCTCCTTCGGGTCTCGGCCTTTCACCCAATGGTCGTGCGTCCCGATATGCAAGAGGTTCTGCGATAATCGCAAGGTGACATCCTCCTGGTTCAACCACTTCTTGCCCAGAATCACAGGATCGGTCTGGTCTCGCACAACGTAGAAAAAAGCTCTTTTCTTCTGGTACCCGTCGATATCGAAGTCGAAGTAGGTCACGGCACAGATGGCCTCGGGTGAGAATGTGTTGACCTGCTCCAACGCTCGAGGTTTAATCGGAATACGCGGCAGGTGAAGCTTGCGGGCAAGGCGCTCACTGATGGTCCCATAACACAGGCAACCACAGTCAACGAAGGCCGTGGTGAAATACTCTCGATTGATACCGAAATTTACGTAGAGGCCTTCACAGTCCATCTCGTCCTTCTGAGTTGCCCATTCCGCCTCAGCCTTTGCGCGCTCCTGACGGCGATTTTCGTCAGGAGCTACTCGTTTTCCGAATGGTCATCGGAGGTATCCCGCTAGAACTCTCCGCGGGCTCTTGGTGCTTTGCTCTCGAGCTTCTTGTCTTCTCTTCGACACGGACCTTGACTCTCTGCTGCCGCCGCTCCTTCCCGGGACACTTGGCCGCAAGATGGCCAAGCTTCCCGCACTCGTAACATTTGCGCTCCTCCAACGGAACAAATTGCTTTTCCTCCGGGGCCCTCCTGCCGTTTATCAACCGATTTGCTTTCACGGGTTCCCAATCCATCTGATCATCGGACGGGGGGGACGACGTGGTTGGCGATCCGGGTGACGGGGGCTTTTGTCGGGACTCGAGCGGTTCGGATAAACGACCATACTCCTTTCTTGACCTCTGCTCGCGGCCTTGTTGTCGTTGGTGGAAATTGAGGCTATCTAGGCGCGAGCCAATCGTCAAGAGTAGCTCGGCGTAGCTGTTGAAATCCTTCGGGAGACTGACGGCACTGACGAGACTCGACTTGAGCCTATTATTAATTGCTCCTTCCAAGTAATTGATTTGCACCACGTCGGCCCACTCGCCACCGCCACTATCGGCAAGCTCTTTCTCGAACTTTGGGAAGAAACTGGCGAAACTCTCATCAGGCTTCTGCTTCAACGATCGAAGTCGATCCAGTGCTCGTGCCTTTGCGTTCGGGTCCCCGTACCGACGGTTCAAGTAGTCGAGAAACAGATCTGGGAGCGAGCACCATCGATACCGCCCTGTTCGTAATAAGCAGCGGCCATGTTCTGGGCTGTTCCCGCCAACCGGGAGTACACATAGGCGAAGAGTGCTTCTTTATTGTCGAATGCCTGTCGGTCCACAGCCAATTTCGCTTTCATCTCTAAGAACCAGGGACGGAAGTTTTCCTGGTTCCATCAATTTCGGCGGATCAGGCAAGGTTGGTTTTACCCTCTTTGATGGGATTCTTTCGGATGTCTCGATCGATTGAGGCGTGTTGTCGGACATCGGTTCGATAGGAGCGACTGGTTCATTTGCCGGAGTCGGAGTTGAGACGGCTGTTTGGAGGATTCGGATCTGCGATCGCATCTCTTCGCGTTCGGCCTCTTGGCTTGCACACACTTTCTAGTTTGTCCATCACTGCAGCCAGGGCTTGCATCATCGATTGAGGCTCAAAAGAACCTTGCTGGGAATCGATTGCCTCCATGACTGAAGATTTTCTCCTCGTCTCTCAGGACTGAGGGCGACTTGATCACACAGCAAGTCTGATACGGAAGGGATATCTCGACAACGGTCGAACGCTATCAACGCCTCGAAGGCTCCTTCCTACACGGCTGGACGTTCTGCACAGGGCTTCTAGTCCAGCTGCTGCCGTCCACACTGGGAGCCAAGCAGCAATCACGTACTTCTCGCTCAACCGCACGCCGTACGGAGAGCAGATTGACGCTCCACGTCCTTTGCTCGGGAGATGAGAGCTACGCGACGCGAGCCAAGCTGGCTTTGGCGCCGTACACACGCACTTTCGTCGCGGGCGTTCCACAGGATTGCCCAAGCTACTGCCACTCCGCGTACCCACAAAGGAACTGAACAGCGCTGCCAATTGATTGTGATCAAAGGCTTTAACGATGAAAGCGGAGCTTTAGGATAATGTAACGGTCTCAACTGAGTGTGTTGACAACTAGCTGAGCGACTGCGACGAGTATCCTAAAGCTAAGGAGAAAAGAAGAAGAAAAGAAAAGAAAGGAAAGCTCTCGAAGATGGCACGAGCTTATAAGCGGAGCTCCGGTGGGTCTTGTCGAGAGCGGAGCCGAGACCCTCACGGGCTCAGCCCGTTACAGCAGGCAACAGCCAAGGAATAAAGAAACAGACAAGAAGCCAAGCAGCCGAGCAGCCAAGCAGCCAAGCAGCCAAGCAGAGAGGAACAGACTAATAGCCAAGAAACAGGCCAACGGGAGACCAAGGAATAAACCAAGCAACGGGCCAAGGAACAGGCCAACGAGAGACCAAGGAATAGACCAAGCAACGGGCCAATAGGCCAACCAGAGACCAACGGTAAGAAATAGCAATAGAGGGAAGAGAGATCCTTATAGGCAAGGGAAAGAAGAAGCTAACGAGGAAGGCAGAGGAAAGAAATCTTTAAAGGAAAAGGGGAAAAAAGTCCCTAGAGAAATACCTAGTAAAATTCATTTAAAATTCAAAAATTATACCCTCTTTTTCCCCGGCGACTTTTACGTCTAGCTAGCTTTACCTAGGCAAATACCTATGCCTAGGAGGAGAATACCGGAGATTGCTGCTCTTATCTTATTTATTTTAGGTATTTCGAAAAGGGGGGATTTTTCACACTTTCGTTAAGACTGCTTAAAGGTGCCTGCCGCGTCGGCTACTACGGACCGTGCCGGGAAGGGCGGAAGGAAGGATCTCTTGCGTATGCTATTATTGCTGTCGGAAAGGTCGTCTATCACGGAAGTCGTCTGCTAAAAAAGTCGTCTATTGCAATGGAAGTCTGCCGGGGAAATCGCCTGCCGGGACGGAAAAGGTTGTCTGCCGGAACGTCTGCCAAAGAGGAAATCGCCTACCGGGACGGAAAAGGTTGTCTGCCGGAACGTCTGTCAAGGAAGAAATCGTCTGCCGGGACGGAAAAGGTTGTCTGTCGGCACGTCTGCCGGGAAATCTGCTAAAAAGGGGGGAAATAAGGCAAAAGAGGGGTGCCTGCAGTCTCTAGGTGCGTAATCGGATGGTCAGAATAGGTGCCAAGGGGAGCCGTTGGTCCGGGCCATTGGTGCCGAAGGAGCCGTTAGGACCATCTGATCGTGCGAGAAGGAATAAAATCAAAGGAAGCTGCCGTGCTAGACGAAGAAGACTGCCGTGCTAGACGAAGACTGCCGTACTAGAGGCGCTGCCGAGGAAATTATCGAAGATTGCCGAAGAAAGAGACTGCCGAAGAAGAAGACTGCCAAAGAAGACTACTGTAGAAAGAGCTTGCAAAAGACCGTAGCCGAGGGGGCTGTCGAGACCGTAGCTAGGGAAGCTGTCGGGACTGTGGCCGAAGGAGCTGTCGAGACTGTAGCCAAGGAAGCTGTCGGGCTATAGAGACTGCCAGTCCCGTAGAGCTATTGGTCCCGAAGAGCTGTTGGTCCCGTGGAAGCTGCTGAAGAAGTTGTCGTATTGGCCGCAGAAAGAAAACCTAGAAAATGTCCGCTGCTGCTGCTGGCGTAGGTGTCTTCCCTCCACAACAAAGACCAGACGTCCCCGTCTGCAACTAAAGCAGCTGCCGTAGATAGAGCCTGCCGGGGAGGAAAGTTCGGTTCGATAAAAAAAGAAAGTTCCGTCTAGTGCAAGGGACTCCGGCTAGGGCAGGGGACAGGGGCAGGGGCCGTGGTCTGGGCCAACCGCTAGAGAAAAAGAAAAAAAGTCGGTAAAATCTTTCCCTGCCTAGCGCTTATCTCGACGGGAAAAGTACGGCAGCACCGGCGCAGTTCGTTTAGCTCTGCCCTTTTCGTATCTTCTTCCTCTTCTCGAGAGAGAGAGAGAGAGGGAAAGGGAAATAGAAGCTTCACGCTCTAAAGACTAGTTTTAACTATAACTACGGCACACACCTAAAGACACACCTACGCCAACGGCAATAGCAGCAGCTAGATACCGAAGGACGAGGGGGTCTAAGGGGAACGAAGGAAAAGAGAAAGTACTAGGCAGGGCAAGGCAAAGGCAAAGAGGGCTAAAAAGGTATATTAGTAGAAGAGGATATAAAAGAAGATAATAATATAAGATAGTAATAAAAGAAGGAGATACTATCTACTAGCTAAGGAGAAAAAAAGACCTCTTTTATAGACCGAATTTTCCCTCTTTCTTCCCTAAACGATTAGGGGCTAAGGGATTATCTAATTAAGAAGAGGGCTAGCTAAAGACTCTACTAAGTATTACGGAGTAGGCAGAGGCGTATGCGTAGGTGCCGTCTATAGGATGATATTAATAAGCTATATAGAGCTCTTCTATGCGCGGCTAGCCTATATATATACGTGCGGGATCCGGCCCTCCGCACGTAACTATACGGCTTAGGCCGTAGCCTAAGCCTATAACCTATAATAGTTAAAGACTCTTATATAATGCCCTCCCTTAAGCGCGGCGCGGCGCTGCCCTATTAACGGCTTCCGTACTATTAGGCCCGTGCCGCTAGCTCTACCCTGCCCTTTCCTATTAATCGTGCTAGCCCTACTAGCCTTATTATCCCCGTACCTATTAGCCTAGGTAGCCGGAACCTAGCTCTATACTTATCGGCCGGCTAGCCGTTTAAATAGGGGCGTAACCTATTATATACGCCCCTAGGTAGCCGGCGGCCGGCCTAGACCTACGTAAGCCTTAGGTTACCCGTCCCCTTAGCCTTAGGCAGCCTCCTCTACTAAGGGGTATATAAGGCGGTATCCCCCCCTTCCTCCTTCCCTTCCTTCTCTTCCTTCTTTAACCGTAGTAGTAGTAGTAATAGGTAAGTTCCGCTCTACCTAAGGCGTTAGTTTATTCCTAGTTATATAGGCCGCTCTATTAATATATACTTATAGTAATAGCTATAGTAGTAATAATAGCCCTAATAATAGCAATAATAATAATAACTTTAACTAGTAAGTTCCTTACCCTATAGAGTAGGAGGCCGTAATCCGTAATACTAACTTCCGCGATAGATATATCTACCTCCCCCTCCCCTACCTCCTCCTTCTCGGAGCGTGCGGAGTCGTTCGTCGACGCTATACTAGGCACGGCCGACGACGACTCCGCCGCTGCCGCTACTCCTGCCCGCGCCCCTGCCACCGCGCCCACCGCCGCCGCTACTACCTCCGCTGCGCTAGCCACCCTTACGTTGCCCTTTAGGGTAACGACGCCGTCCCCGCCGCTACCCGTAACGCCCGGCCCCTCGGCCCCCGCCTCTATCTCCGCTACCCCCGTAAGTCTATAGTCGAGCGAGCGTAATAGACGTCTTCCGCTAACTCCTTAAAGCATAAGCGCTAGGTCTAGGCCGGAGCCGCTCGCGCGGCCCCTTATATGCGGTGTACGTCGTAGGAGCTCCCTTACGCCGACTAGGTCGGGCGCCGCCGCGGCGGTAGTTATTACTAGTATACGCGTGCCGGCCGCGCTTATAAGGCGGCGCCTCCTATCCTACTCGCTACGGCGTCGGCTTAGAAGGCCGGCGCGTATAAGCAGGCCCGGGAGGCTACTAAGAAGCGCCTTACTACCTCCGTAGCCGCCTACTATAACCTCCGCGCCTTAAAGCGCTAAGGGCTTATCCTTAAGTAAGTTCTTCCCCCTCCGCTCTTTTACCTCCGCTACTAACTCTCCCGGTACTAGGGACACCGCCTCTATTGCCTTATCGGCGATCCCTATAGCCGTGCCCGCCGCCGCCGCTACTACTACCCCTGCCGCCGCCGCTAAAGCTAGCCGCCGCCCCTCCGCCCCCGGAGCCGCCGCCGCCGCTAACTAGCTTATAGGCCTAGAGGGCCGACTTAGCGCGCTAGAGAGCGCCGCCGCCGCCGCTAAGGAGGAGGAAGGGGCCGACGAGGATAATAATAATAATAATAGCGAGGGCGAGGGTAATAATAAGGAATAAGCTTAAGAAGTTTAAGGGCTCCGCCTTAAAATAAACGCTATTTTTATCTCTACCTATACTATTACGCCTATATCGCCGTAACTACTAACTCTACTTTACTTATTTTATAGTCTTAGTCTAGGCTATTACTAGTAGTCTACTAGTCTATTATTCTTATCTACCGGTCTATATAGGGTCTCGAACTTATCGAGGGCTATAGCTCCTATAAACTTATATATAGGTTCCTATATAGGGTTAAGGTACCTACGCTACTTAATAAGAACCTCTTAGCGTATCCCCTTACCTACCTTCTTTTAGCGTATAGCCCGTATCTCCTTAACCTTAAATTCGTCGTCCCCTTCTACTTTAATTATAAGCGGTTAAGCGTCTACTATTTCTTATCTAGGTAGTAGGTCGGAGGAGGCTTAGCGAAGGAGGTTAAGGTTAATCTTATTATAGACC